CTCAAGTTTCGAATATAGTTCTTCACAATTTCTTCACGGTTACCTCTCACGTCGAAGGCATCGCCGTCTTCTTCATCCTCCTCGTAAGCCTCAGCCTCATCTGCAGCGTCATACAATTCACGATAACGACCTACATTTCGCTGCCCACGACTCGGCGCTCGCTGAGTCGGGTTTAGCTTTAATGGAGTCAGCATGTGAGATTCTTCGAAGTACGGAGTCCCTTGCGTAGCGCGGAACACTTCACGTCTCTTCGTCTCCGGGGTTTTTGGCAAAGGAATCTTGCTCGGGTCCTCGCCGAGTGGTTTGAACTCGGCTACTCGGCTGTACACCTTCTTCGTTCCGTCAGGGGCCTTCTCCAATCCAAACGCCACTCTGAGCTTCTTCTTCCATTGCCAGAGCTCGGCTCCGCCACGGGTCAGACTCCAGTCGGACAGAATGAGGCTGTTTGGTCGGCTGTTGCACCGATAGCCCATCGCCTTCAACAGCAACACAGTTTCTTCCACCAACTGATTGATGTTGGCTGCACGCACCGGCTGAGTTAACTCGGGACCCAACATCGGCCACTTCGCCTGCGCCATCGCCACAGGCGCGAACATCATCATCCATTCCGATCTCGTTCTCATCTCCTCGCCGAGTCGAGCCAACACTTTATTGGCGCTCGGCGTATCGGCGTTCCTCGTCGCTTTTGGAATAAGGGGCGGACGGTCCCCTTGAGCAACGCCATGGTCTTCTTTATCTTCTTCATCGTCCGCACCTTCGTCGAGCTCGGCGGATAAACTGCGCTCGACAGGACGTGGGGCTCCCATGCGTCCCACCTGCAGCGTCAACTCTTCCACCTCGCCAAGTAGCTCGGCGGTAGTCTTCGTTTCTCCGAGCTCAGCGGTCTCGGCCTTCTCTTCATACTCTCCTTCACTTGCGTCTCCGCTCTCGCTCTGCTGGTCTTGGCCATCCTCGTCGAACTGGACGGTTCGTCCCACCTCCATCGTCATGGCGATGAGTCGTTGATCCGCCGGGTCCGACCCCGCGAGAGGCGATCCTCCAGCCGTCGCTGGGCTTCCGTCGCTCGGAGTTGCTGATCCCTTGACCATCTTTACTCTTCTCTTTCTCTTCTCTCCTCTTAACTTGGCTAGCTGGCACCTATAAAAACAAGCACACACTCCTGTTCCCGGGTCGCGGCACCAGTTGTGGTGTAGTAGAACACACAAATATCGTCAGATGTGGATTCCTTACACAAACCACAACGAATCGCCGAGTTAGGTCGGCGGTTTGTATGGCCTGCGCAGAGGGTGGTCCCCTCGCGGTCCGGCCCTTCCGGGACAGACGAGTGGCTCGTTTCCACTCGGTTCCGACTAACCAAGTCAGATCACTTCCGAGACTCCGCCGAGTTTGGTTCGGCTGAGCTCGTTCACAACCCTGTGCCCTCCACCAAAGGATGGACGACGGCGCGCGAGCGCTTTTACAGGTCACCGAGCGCAGAGGCTGCTCAGCTAGAAGTGTTACGGCACCCGGGCTATCCGACGTACCGGCCCGCTGAGTATGCGGGACTTTCTTTCGCGCGTAGCGAGACTTTGTCCTACCCGGACCGACCTAATCTCTTGGCGCTACCAGTCAATACTCTACAAGCTATGCCTCTCGAGTATTGACGGCAGGCATAATCCAGCCCTATGCAGGGACTTACCGGAAAAGTGTACACTTGTCTTGGACTAGGAAAATTCTGCTCTGTTATCTTCTGGGAGCCCTTTCGGCTCCCCCTATTTAATCCTATGCTTCTCATACAAATATCTAATGAAATGTAGTCGTTTCGGATCTCTACCGACCCTTCAGCTGAGTTCCGGCGACCGTTGAGCTCGGCGGCTATCCGGATAGCATATCCGGACAGATCGCCGAGTACTACCGTGATCCTTGGCTCCTAAGCTCTGGTTTATCAGACCGAGCCGATTCTTGACCTAAAGTAGGTCGGCGTATGGTCGAATCTGGAAATCCCTACACCACACAAGGACGACGCACCCGACGTTCTACGTTGGACATCTTAAGCGGTACTTTGATCCGCAGGGGGTTGCTGACTCGTAGACCCACCTTGACCCAGCTCCTCGAAGCGAGGGCCGGTCACAGACGTCGACGAGGTCGTCGGAGCAGGCACCCAAGCCTCGGTCGGAACGGCAAGGCTGCGGTCAAGACCGTACGCCGGAGGGGCTCCGTACGAACGGACCCCGCCGCCATACGCCGAGTACGCTAAGTACGCCGGGTACGCACCATACGCGTACGTCTGGGAGTGTGCCGCATGCGGCTCCGGACGTGGCAGCAGAGCCTCGATCCGTCGGATCATGCGAAAGGCCTCGTCCAGATCGGACGAAGAGGCCCGGTGATCCACCCGCAGGTGCAGGCTCGCGACCTCTCGCTCCAACAGGTCCAGGCGGCCCGTAAGACGAGCGAGCTCGCCCTGATTCCCGGCCTGGGCGGCAGCATCACCGCCAGTCCCAAGGCCAAGTGCAATCTCAAGCACGAGGACACGTTGACGGAGGCGGTCAACCTCAGGGCCCTGTGTCGGACCCGCAGTCGAAGCACTCGGACGAGAGTGGCGTTCGGGAGGCACCGAGTACTCGTACTCGTACGAGGGCACCTCCGCCCCTGCTTTGTCGGAATGGAGAAGTCCACTTCCACGTGGAGCGGATCCTCCAGGAGCAACGGCGTCGCGGTAAGCGACAGGTCCTCGTGAAGTGGAGGGGTTATGCTCACTCCGAGAACTCGTGGGAACCGATTGAACGACTCCTGATTGACTGTCCGAAGGCTGTCGCAATCTGGGAACAGAAGCGGCGGCAGAATCCGGAGATTTTTGCCCGAACGGGGTACGGATGATGAATACATTCCGTACCCGCGCTCATCGTGAGCGCTGGAAGCCGCGCGCTTCAGGATGTCCCTTGGCAGCATGTGCTTGTTGATCAAGTGGGCAAACCTCACACGGAGATCACGCTTGTCCAGGATGCGGGACAGCAGCTGATCTTCATGGAGTTCCAGTAACTCCGTGGATGAGTACTTAAGAGACTCCACCCATGCCCAGAACATGTCCTCACAAGAACTCCACGTGAGACAATTCTCGGGCATAACCCAGGGGTATCCCCAAAGAGGATAGAGACCACCCCAGGTCTCGGGCTTCTTACGACAAGTCGTGAAGTCCCTAAGAGGGATGCGGTGTGGCGCGAGAAGCACACACCGAGCAGCCTTCAAGTTGTCAACGAACAACTGTTCTTTCTGAACAAGGGCACGTTTGTAGATGCCCCTAGAAGTGTGGCCGCCCACAAGGCCACGAGGAGCGACGAGAAGCTCTAAGAAGAGGCCAGCTTCAGAGCTCTCCTCGGGAGGCCAATACCCTCTTGAGTTGATGGCAGCTCCCTGGCTGACGGGTGCCACCACCGAACCCCCACGCACACGCTGGGCAGCTTGGAAATCCTCCTGCTGCTGGTCGAGGTTATTCGTGACCTCCAGGGGCTCAGAAATAGCACCCTCCTCCCCCTCTTCTTCCTCTTTCTCCTCCTCTTCATCCGAGGAGTCGAAGATACTTTGATAGGAGTGTTGAGTCTCCTTCTCCTCGCGGAGTGGAGACTTAAAGGCTGTACGCTTCTTTGAGGGCTTGGCGCCTTCGGGTTTAGAGGCCTTAGCACGCGCAAGACCCTCGGCAAGCGAGAGACGTTTGCGAGGATTCTCTTCCTCATCGCCACCAGCTTTGGGAGTGCCCTTAGCCTTGACGGCCGGACTCTCAGAGCGCACAGAAGTCCTGGGACTGTGATCACCTTGATCACTTGCGAGCGACTGCACGCTGTCATCCTTGTGCTCACTGGGCACTGGGCTGTGCCCTCCCACAGAGCCCGCAGGAGCATCGTGCGTGCTCTCGGACTCGGCTTCGTCCTCACTGCCAGAGTTGAACTCACGTTCCACGAACCGAGGGATCGGACGATTGTCTGAGGCCGAGGGCGACGGGCTGCGGCGCTTGCTTGCCCGCTTGCCCACAGCCGCGTCACCAGAGGAACCGATCGCCTCAGAGGCCACCTGAGTAGCCTCCTTAAGCTCCGAGCCTTTGCCGTGAGGCTTAGTGCTCTTGGCTTGCGCTTTACCGGCCGCAGCCTTGGAGCGTGTCTTAGCACCGCTCTTTGCTGTGCCACGAGGCATGGTAACGGTCGAAGTAGAGACCTAGACGAAGAGCGCACAGATTGCTGGTCGAGGCTCTAACTGATAAGTGAGCCTCCGCCGCGCTCGCGCGGCCAAGTCGATGGTTTTCGACTTTGAGAATGAGAGTTTGTGACGAACATCTCTTCATTCTGATTGGTCGGTAAACCGAACCTAAGTGGGAGAGGATGTAACGGGGTACGTATCCCTAAGTGTACCCTGGTGTAAACACTTCAGTTCACTAAGGGTTTAGGAAACGCGGTAAGTAATTTATTTCGATACATGGACATTACATGGGGTGGACAATACTTTAGCATCGGCCAATTTAAAAGCGTATACTGTACATGTTGCTAATTTGTAGTGACTTATAATCACATAACCTCTCAGTAACGTACTGTTTCAGACATTTGTTCTAGGAGTAAACACCAACTTTATCACTGTACGCTTCGCTGTCGGCTTCTGAGGTAGCCTGCACAAACTACATTGAGTTTCCAGGATCAGCAACTGCGCCATGTAAAAATCCGAGCGCCCGAGGCTGTACACTGTACAGTGTACAGTATAGCACGATGAAATGGGATTCACTGTAATTGCCTCAAGCGAGTCGCTTGGCGATGGCGCAAAGCGCAGCAACTGCAGCGTTACTTTTGTTTATGTCGGCGTGTGATTGCCAGCACCACGTTATCACTTTTCGGTCAAGAAGAGTCCAGTTAGGGGCATTTCAGGCTGCAGCTCAACGTCACGTTGGCTAACTCGTTTTAATAAGTCGGTGGTTTGTGAGTCAAGGCAACTTCAACGCTGCAGAATGGCAAAAACGATCCAGAATCCAAATTCTCTCATGTGTGATACAATTGTGTTACATTTGTTCAATTTTCGCTTCCTTTGTCTCTGATAAATACCTATGTTGTCCCTCCTTTCGCAGCGAGGGGGAATGAGTCGAGCAGTGGATGTCGTCGTCCTGCTCCTAGGCTTGATGATAGTGTGCCTCTGTCTAACTGCTGCTGATGGACGGCGCATCATACACAATCCAGTTCGGAAAAGGTTTGTCCAGTCGAGGGGTCGAGCATCCACGCACTCAGCTCGCATGGGAACTCCTCGTCGTCTCCCCCAGCCGCGACTTTGACAAGTGTGACGCTTACGACAGCGCGCACAACTTGCTTGCCGATGTCTAGCGCCAGCAACTCCGCGCGAGGCATCTTGCCCTGCTCCTCCGACAGCACCATGGACGACTTGAGCTTTTGCACCGCGTACTTGCCCGTGAAGGCCTTGGGGAACTGGAAGCGGCACACGGGGCATGTGCTCTGGTTCTGCAGCCACGACGAGATGCACGGGTAGTGAAATGAGTGGCCGCAGGGAAGAGCTACGTGGCCGTCGCATGGGTTCTCGCTCATGCAGATCACGCACTCCTCGCCCTCGTGCACCTCAGCGGCCTCTTGGCTCTCAAGCTGGTCAAGAATGGCCTGGTCCGCGGGCGACGAGGTCTTGAGACGCGGCGAGACATAACGCATCATGAAGCGCACCCAAGTCGTGGAGCGGAACATCTCGAGAACATCGCGCGTGACGGCATTCGCCGGCGCATGGTACTGGACTTCGACGCGCACCGTGATGTCCATGGGGAGGGTCGCGTCCGGCTGTGACTCGCTCGTGTTCTCTGTGGTGTGCTCTGCAAGTATGCAGAGGTGGATCCTGTTGCGGGAGGGGCGACGTCGACCAGCGAATATGTTCGATGCGCAAAAGTGTCTGCTGCTCCTCTGAAAAAACAAAAGTGAGCGATAGGCAGCCACCGCGCGACCATGGCGGCAGACGAGAGTGGCGCTTTTTCCTGCTCGACCATAGACGGACGGGTCGAGCAGTTTCGAAAGAACGGGTTTAAAACCCGCGCAGAAGAGTGGGACCTATTCGACGGCGCTCGCCGCCCGGGCTCGCTTGCTTCGCGACGTCTTACTGTAATACATGTAGATCTTTATACTTTACTGTAGACTACATGTACAAGCTGAGCCTCGAGAGATAAGCCAGGAGTCATGACCCATGGCCATTTGCAGAAGTATTGCTAGCTGCCCAGGACGGCTCGAAAGCGACTTTGCCAACAGCTGCTTCAACGACTTGATGGAGTTTTTTTCTGCGCTGACACCTTAGAAAAAACAAAGCTTGCGAAATATATTATATTGTCGTACATGATTTGCCAATATCAATTTTCAATTCGGCTGAATGGGCCGTACTTGAAGTAAGAACTTTGATAAGAAATTTTGAGGCCTTTTGTTTTGCAAAACGTTTAAACTGCTGGCGGTGATTGAGATTTACAGTGTTAATTCATGTAACCTGAGTATCAAAAGCATCTATATCTTAAAGAGCAGTTGTCCAGGCCATATTTTGTCATACATGTACTGTAGTGGTCCTGTAACAGGACTCCTGCTCGAACTTCGAGCGAGTGCAGCCATTTCGTAATTTACGCGGTCTCCGGTGACAGCGCGCCGCTGGCATTCGAGTTGAGGTCGCAACGTTGGAGTTGCCTGCGCGTGAGTAATGATCACAGTGGGCCGAATTTGGTGCAAGCGTAGGCGAAGATCGCGACTTATAAGTTGAGATAATCTCAACTTTTCAAGCGACCCTGCAGTCGTTGCTTTCATCAGAGTTGCGCAGCGGCCGTAGCATGTGTCGCTAGAGTTACAGGTAAGTACATGAACTGTACATGCATAATGATCTTGCAGAGATACTCTTCATCCAGCAGCTGTCACGGACTCTGGGCACTGCAGCGCAGTACGTAACGGGCGCAGTACGGAGGTTGGCTAATGATGATTCGCGAGGTGACTGAGTCATCGCGGTGGTTCCTCCGAGCAGGACAGGTTGTGTCTATGCTGGTCGGCGCGTGTAAGTACTGTACACGCCTTGAAGTGGTCGGTGCTGCAGGTGACATTACGTGCCATTACTCATTTAAACATCGCTGTGCGGTGGTAATGAGCACTGCATGGGCAGTCCACGCCCTAGGAAAAAGAAATCGGAGCTACGCGACACTGCCTTGCCGTTGGCAGCCGCATTCTGCTTTTTGCTCCTTCCCCCGCTCAGACCTGTATTAATAGCTCGCCAAAGCAAATCTCGGACCAGGCAACACGAATAACGAATGGAGGTGGCGGTGCGCGTGGAGGATCACTACCGGTATTAATACTGCACACCACTAGATACAGTTTTTGGGGACGTTCTGCGCCTGCTGCGCTCGCAGACATGGGTAGCCTTTATGACCAGGCAAGGTCTCACGGACCGTGACGGTGAGTCACCGTCGATCACGGTGAGAGTTTCACCGAGACGACGCCTCGGTGCTGGAACGCTTTAACAGAACATGGCAGACAGCCGCAGGTGCAGGTTATCGTTATGACACGCGGTGCATAATCTGCATGGACTCCCGCGATGACGATGCCGCGGAAAGTGAAAGAACTTGCACACGCCAGTCGAGTGAAAGCAGGGTGCAGCTCCCTTGACAAGCTGTGACAAGGGCCTTGTGCACATGGACACATGGTCCATCGCCGCATGAGTCGATTTTTTCCTGGCTGGATCTCCCATCGCCGTGCCTGCGAGGCGCTCCTTGACACGTACAGACGCTCCCTGCAACACATTGATTATTAATAGCGACGGGTATCCGATCTTCGACTGAAAGGGGGAAACAAGCTTACGTTTATGTATTGGATACTTGGGAGTACAACTTGAACTAGTTTATTTTTCTCGTTTCGTCAGCAAACTTGCACGAGGATCGAGACTACCAGCAGCCACTTTGCTCTTCCCATAGTTACTACGCTGCTGCTACTGATAATCCCTGGATATTCATACTGTGCCTCATTACCGTGTACAACATTGTCTCTGTCAAACGGCGGCATGATCGAGTTAGGTGCTAGGTCTGTGGGAGTCTCAGAAACGTTTGAGAGATTACAGCCGATAGAGTTGCAAAGTGCCCGGACAGCTGCAGAGGTGATAGCAGAACGATCAGTGTCGTTAAAAGCAAGTCCGTTTGAAGATTGCCCGTTCGGTTCATCGCCTCCATCTCCAGGTTCACTGGCGTTCGCCCCAATGTTGATTATTGTGATGGTGTTGCCAATATTCACACCGTCCAAATTCGTGACGATACTCGACTGGATAGTCGCAGCTTCTTGACTACTGCCGCTCTGGCTACTGCTTTCACTGTCGTCCTCGCTGTCTTCCTCGTCGTTGTCGTCGTTGTTGTTAGGATTATCGCCCGAGTCGTCGTCATCGTCATTGCTCTCCTGATTGTGATGATCAAGGTGGTCTTCACGAGGGGACCATGCACGGTTCTCATCATGAAACGGAGCAGCTAACGATTCCTCCGAACGCGCATCTTGCAGAATCCTTTCGTTCTCGAGATATCCAACGCCAACCAAGCGATGTTTATTGTCAGTGCGGCACCAGGAGGAATGTTTTTGGACCGATACTACACGTCTCCGCATCGAGGTGACAGCTATCGCAACCAGTACTGCCCCCGTTGTCGCCACCACCACTACCAAAAGCCGAAGCAGCATAATTACCTGGCAAGTAGAGCAAGTGTCTTTTGCTTCAAAGTTTTTCACATCTTATATCGTCCATCAATCTCACCTCTTCCTTTCTTTCTTCCTAGTCACCTACAGATCAGAATCAGTCGTGAAGCGTGCAAACCTTCGACATCGAGTAACGCAATCGGCTCTCAGTAACGTAACCTTCCCCACTACTGCGTAGACTCTTCGGATGTCTCGGATGAGCTAGCCGAATTCTCACGCGGACGCTTAAATCGTGGACTGCTTGGTGGGTTTGGGGCCGGTGGGGTGCCGTACTCGTTGAGGGCATATGACTTCTTCATGCCTGCCATACTTCGACGCATAGCGATCTTGTGATCCACAATTGGGAACGGATAATCTTTTCCGATAAGGCACCCCGCCGCGTGCTGCACAGTCATCGGCGCCTTCCAGGGCTCGTAGATATACTTGACTGGCATCTTGCTGAGTGCTGGAACGTATTTGCGGATAAATAAGCCTTCCGGGTCCCATTTCTTGCCGAAAGTCGACGGAGAGTACACTCTGAAGTAAGCAGAGAAGAAGTAGCTAGCACTAAGCCACAGCCAGTTGCCACAGTTGATACTCCAATCGTGATCGATCAGTCTTTCCTGGAAGACCTCGAGTCCTCGAACCCATGAAATATACAGATCGCCACGAGTAAGGAAGCACGCTACCGAGTGACGTGCTAGATGATGCATCCAGCCTTCCTCTTTAAGTTGGATCATGATAGCGTCGATCCATGGGAAACCAGTCTGACCATCGATCCAGGCTTGGAACTGCGAGCGAGCAAGCTTGTCGTCATCAGTCATATCCTCCTCCCGCTCTGGAATAGTGTGCCATCGCCAGTCAATCTGCAGACAAGTGGGACTCTCCTCCATCTTGTCGAAATACGCGTTGGCTCGGCCGTGACAGTGGAAAAACTCACGCCACAGAAGCTGTCCGTCCAAGCTCACAGGGGTAGCTGACAGAGCCTTGGCGTGGTGTTCCTGTATGCCTCGGACGTGATGCAAAAAGGTCCGTGGACTGATAGAGCCGAAATACAAGTATGGACTAAGCGAAGTTGTCGACGCAGATGGGGTCGTCTGTGCAGGAGACGTCTTCGGCTTCTCGAACTTGACCACGCGACCTTCATTGCGACAATAGTCCCGTAGAATACCCAGCGCAATCTGTTCGCCGCCGTAGATGAAAGGATGTCGCTCAGGGGCTACGAAGCCAAAGTCTGTTACCTCTGGGAGTGTAAATTGCTGTTCAGGACCAGCGATCTCATCGAGATGCTTTGCTTTTTCTTGGGGATCGTCGTCCGCTTCAAAGTCCTGTTTGACTGTCTCGTCTTCTGTCTTTTCTTCCTTCACATCAGACTGTGTCACCGAATCGGGTTTCAAGCGGTTCTGCCAGTAGTCTATCACCTGTTGGTAGAGCTCACTGGGCAGATACACAGGTGCCGGCACCTTTTCCGGCGTCGGGAGCGGCTTGGGCGGTTTCGGCTGCATGGCTAATGCACGGAGAAAAGCGGTGTAGGTCTTCGGTGGTTCTCCGTTATTTCCAGCAATAACTGCGTCCAGGTCGTAGAGTGTGTACCCATGCGTCACGTGAGTCTCGACTCCCAGTTGTCTTGCTAACGCCACTGCTCGGTTGTCTCGGTCGATAGCAAATGGCTCACTGGCTGCGTCAAAAAACAGGTGCGAGATGCGCCAAGCGGGCAGTAAACGCCTCAGCACTTGCACCCCGTCTCCTCTGGCCACCACAAGTCGAGAGCCTCGTGCAGCCAACGCGTCGGCCAGATCTGAAACGCTCTCGAGCAAGAACTGGAAGCGGTTGACGCCGCACAGCATGATCTTTGGACGGTGCACGATATAAAGCGGGATGAACACCACCTTACGGCCCGGTATCTTTTCCTCTTCCTGCTTTATCCAATCCAGCGCTGCAGAGATTGCCAGATTGTCGTGGAGGCGGAGATCGCGTCGGAACCATACGAGGATCCTGATCTCGTCATCACTGCCCCCTCCTGAGTCCGTTGCTGGGAGGCTTTCGCTCGGAATCGACTCCTTCTTCTCCTCTTCGACTGTTGATTGCTGCTGCTGGGATCCAACGGGCAGATCCGACGTCGAAATCGCCTCCGAGGCAAGTTCTCGGGGAGCGTTGATGGCTGCGTGCACTGCGTCGAGCGTCGCGGCGTCTAGCGTTGATTCTGGAAGTTCCGAGTCAGGATCAGCGGCGTCAAGCAAAGAGGATGCAAAGTCGACGAGATCTGCATCGTCAGCCGCGTCATTATTGGTGCCCTCGGTGGGCAACAGTGGCGCAGAAAGCGGGAGAGTGCGATCCGTCATGAGCAAAGACTCTTTCAATTTGCAACAAATACCTGCAAAGGTGCAAATTGCACCGTGCAATCATTTATTTCGAGCTTTTTTACATTAATCCAAGGTGCTCAAATGACGTTTTAGAACCAATCCGAGATCAGGCTGAAGTGGAGAAGAATGGTGCTCTTACATTATTTTATGAAGTTCGTACGTCTATTACATAGGAAAGCAGTGCAAAGCTTCTAGAGGTTCTACTAGATTTCGTCGAACCTCTGGTCGACTCGCGGCACGAGCGCCTGCGGGTTGCCCGCGTGGGGTGAAAAGAGCTCAGCCTCCTCCAGATACTTCTCGTTCACCACTTCGCTCTTGTTCTTAAGACGCGCGAATACACCGAGGCCGACGAGAGCGAGAGGCACACCCAGGTCGGCGACCAGCCACATAATACGGGCTCCGTAATGCTGGTAGAAGTAGCCACCGATGAGCGTGCCGACGCCGCGTGCAAGACCGTTCTGCACCGCGTTCAACACGCCCATGATCGTGCCCTGACAGCCGGGAGGAGCCGCCGAGTACACGTACTGCGTGCACGCCGCCCATGCCAATCCGTACGTCACCCCGTGCAGGAATTCGAGCGGAATGGCGCACCAGGCGTTCGTCATGACAGCGTAGTAGGACACGCGCAGGAAATAACCTAGGATGGACAACAGCAGCACGTTCACGATGCCGAGCCGATTGATAATTCTGTGGGAGTAGAAGAATGCGGGCAGTTCCGATGCTGTCTCGCACATGATGGCAATACCCACGACCTGGGCATTCTGGCCTGAGAGGTTGTACAGGTTGAGCGTGAGGAAGCTGGAGAGCACGCCGTACATGAGCCCCATCAAGAACACGACACCAAGCAGCACCAGTACGTCTACTTTCTTACAAATGAGCCGAGCATTGTCCATGAATGTAGGGGCTTTTGAGGTGCCACCTTCCAGATCAGCTTGTTGCAGTAGTCGACTATGTTGCATTGGTGGGATTGTGCGCAGCACCAGTAGAGACGTCAGTCCGAGCGCCAGGCTCAGGTTGAAAGACCACGAGATCCCAGCGATGGCCACGAGGAGGCCTGTAATGTAGGCTCCTGCACCGTAGCCGAGCGCGCCAAACAATCGTTGCTTGCCGTACTCCCCACCGACCTTGTCGAGGAGGTTTAACACGGTGTGATCCAGCAGCGAACCGGTCGGGGCCACTTGAAAGTTGGCCACGACGACGATCACGATCATCCAATCAAAAGACCAATAGAAGAAGCGAACGGCGAACATGAACAGCGAGGCCGTGGCGATGCAGAAGACGTGGATGAGTCGCTGGTTCTCAATGTGGTCGGCGATTGCTCCCCAGAGCGGAGGAGCCAGCAAGGTGCACACACAGGGCAACGTTTGTAGGACGCCGATCTGCATCTTGGAAAACTGTGCTGTCTGCTGGTAGAAGATGCTCAGGAAATTCATTTGTGCCGACGTCCACGCGTTGCTGACAAGGTACATAAGCTTGGGCTGCCACAGCGAGTGCTTGGGCACTGTCGGCGCCACCAGCGGCGTCTTACTCGTCACCTTCGCCTGACACATGGGCCAACAGAGACTCGACGTAAGCGACGACGGTTGTGTCGGCTGCAAACACTGCGTCTTGCCCTGAAACTTGTCGAATGAGGTTCACCACAACGAGCAAGTAATGCCCATTCCTCTACATGCGCATCGTCTCCGATGTGTAAGTTCACCCCCTCCTGATATCGTTCCTTTCTTTAAAAAAAACATACTTTGTCAGGACAGATGTCACACTCTTGAATTTATGCACATCATAGTACAACAGTGAACGGAACAAACTCTTTCCACCAATCATCCTCATTCATATCCAAATTCCGTTCTATCATTCGCGGAAAATCATTGTAATCAGGCCGCCATCGAATTTCGTCGTACGTCAGATTATTTTTTGACCAGCGTACCCGTCCCCATGAGCACCCCCGCGTTGACTGGTCTGCAGCAGCTTCTGGCCGACAAGAGCCGCGTTGTCGTACTCGATGGCGGCTTTGCGACCGAATTAGAGAAGGATCCGCGGGTGGATCTGAGCGCCAGTAGCCTCTGGTCCGGGTCGCTGCTGCTAGACCAGAACCAGCACCTCCAAGATGTTGTTGTCAATGCACACACAAATTACTTCCTCGCGGGTGCTGACGTGGCCACCACTGTCAGCTATCAGGCGTCAGTCGACGGTTTTAAGCGTGAGGGAGTCACAGCCCTCGAGGACGTCGAGAAACTCTTCGCTAAGAGTATCGACCTCGGAGCACAGGCTCGTGACGCCGCCTGGAATGAACTGCAACAGAGTAAACGCATCAAACCCCTCGTAGGTGCCAGTATTGGTTGCTACGGCGCTGCACTTGCGGACGGATCGGTGAGTTGTTATCAGGATTTGTATCCATGGGATGGTGCGCTCACTACTAGCGAACTTTTCCGTTGATGGCCCAGGAGTACCGCGGTGACTACGGCAAGACAAAAAACGAACTGGTGGCATGGCACAAGCACCGCTTCGCCTTTTTCACCAGCTACGCCCCTGCTAATTTCTTGATCTGTGAGACCATTCCTTGTCTCGTGGAGGTGGAAGCCTTCGTGGATCTTCTCAACGAGTTCCCGACCGCACACGCAATCGTTGCCGTGGCCTGCCACAACGGTAAAGAGCTCAACAGCGGCGAGCCAATCGCTCGCATTCCGGAGATCCTGGCTAAACTCAATAACCCCTCACAGTTGCTGGCCATTGGCATTAACTGTACGCCTCCACAGTACGTGGAGAGTCTGCTCCTCGAGCTTGACTGCCCCTGGCCCAAGGCCGTGTACCCAAACAGCGGTGAAGGTTGGGATGGAGTGAACAAGAAGTGGCTTCCAGCCGATAATACTGGCGGTCCCAGCTCTTGGGAAGAGTATCTACCTAAGTGGTACGATGCTGGTGCCCGCTTCTTTGGTGGCTGCTGCCGTACATCTCCTGACGATATTCGCGCTATTCGTGAGTACTTTGCCAGCCGTCAGCTGCTGTAACTTGCCGGGCCGACGCTCGAAATCCACCGCTTGCTGTGTAAAAATGTATTCAAAGTTCTGTTGTGGCTGGGGCAAGTGTCGGATTCGAGCTGTTGAGATACAGGCGCTGTTGCTCGTAGTTGCGAAGATAGCGCATTGCAATGCGAACGCTGGCGCAACATCGCTTAAACGCTTCGTCGCATGTCAGCCGCTGCTGTCCACGAGAGAGACCGCAGTACGAAATAAAGCTCTCGACGTGTCGTCGCAATTCTCGCAATTGTTTCTTTTCATGTCTGCTACAGCGTCGAGTCGATTTGTCAGGTTTGTCAGGTTCCTCTTTAACGACGTTTTGTCCCTCGCCCAAGATCGATTTGAATGGCATATCTACAGATACCTTGACTCGGAAATGCTGAGGTTCCTTTACTCCCAAGTCGTCCAGGTGGACAACTCCGTCGCAGGTTGGGCACAACGCAATGTGGCACGAAAGGCATCGCTTCCCGGCTGGAATTTGAAGATTTCTCAGCGCAAAGCATATAAAGCACAGCCGTCGTCCCACCTCAGTACTGCTGTTAGCCTGAGCTCTGAAGGCCACATTCCTCTCGTCTTCTATCGTAAGTTTTGAAACACGGCCAGAGTTGGAATCGCAAGGTGTCAAATCTGTCACCAACGAATCGTTCAAGCCAGGAGCAACGACAGTCTGGGCATGTGCCTGCTCTGCGTATTTCATCGATTCAGCGAGCAGTCGTCGAGCTGTTTGTTCGCGCTTCAAGGCCTCATCTCGCTCACCAAGAGCCGCTATGTACTGCTTTGCCAGGACTTGATTAAACTTGGACTGGTCTACACGGTCTCGACGTTGCATCGTCTCTAGCTCTTCCGTCGACCTTCTTGTAGTTGATACATTTTCAGGGGTGTTCATGCCGAGCATTCTCTTCTTTTCCTCTTCATCTGTTTGGTCTTCGTCAAGACGCACCCACGACGCCGAGTCATCAATTACGAGTGACAAAAGCGCTTTGGTACCTAGAACGACGTGTTCGACTACTAGAAGTAGCCAAAGCTCAGTGACGTATGCGCTCGAGTTATCAGTCATTGACTCCTCCGCCCTCCAACTTGGACGCACCACTTGAATTAGGCTTTCTAAATCCGATCTGGTAGTGAAGAAGAGCACAGCGCAGTTGACAGCGACGGCAGCAAAGCTCATAAACTCGAGGATACTCGTGAAAGTTGACACCTCGGTCTCGCTTTCAAACGGTGGACGTCGTTTAGTTTGCGTGCAACTAAGTACATCCAGACGCATCGCCACGACGTTGCTTAGTAGAGCAAACAAGGGCGCTACAGGTAGTACCGAGACAAACATGGTAACGTATCCGAACTGCAGAACTACTTCCATCTGCTTCCCCATTAGGAAATCGTGAGGATACATGAGCTCTTGCAGGAGAATCATCGGAGGAGGAGACGGACGTTCTACCCCTCTTAGTGACGTTGATGTAAGCGGATGGGAAAGCTCTGCATCGTACCATTCGTGACTTGACATGGACCAGCAGTACTTTCTGGCTCGGGTAGATGGCTGCTGAAAGCGAAACCCAGCTTGTTTCCATCGCAATCGCACATGGAACATTGGTAAAACATCACGCTGGATTGAGTTCCACAACTGACGAGTTCCCATAATGATCAAGAGCTGCTTGCGAAGAGCAGTAGCGTTTTGATCCACGAACGCAATCCAGAACAACGAGATGAAAGCATTTAAGAACTTGAACGAGAACAGTTTAGTGGCCAGCATACTCTCGAATTCCCACACAGTACGATGATTCTCCCAAGTGGTGAGGGAGCGAGCGAGTCGCGTGTACCAATTATCAAGTAGTAGCATTGATACCGCATTTATAAACGGAACGACGTACGGGACTAATACCACTGGCAGCCGTGGCATGGCGTTGTGTACAACTGCCGACGATGCACTGTTCGTCTTGACAGCAACAAAAATCACCACTGCCGCTACTGCCATAGTCAGAAGTAGAGGAATACCCGTATAAATTCTGACAAGCTGCACAGCTCTCGGAAAACTCACGTCGACAGCACGTTTTGCTCGTATCATTGCAGTTTCAACCAAGAAATCTCCATAGAACCCGGGAGTTCCCTCACTCCGATTGCGTCGAAAGTGACCAAATTTTCTCTGTATTTCGCTACGCTTGCGCTTCCAGCGTTCTACCATTAGCGTGGCCCAAATGGACACGACAATACCAAAAAGAGGCGGCACAAAACTCACATTGTTCGCTAACCACAGCATTTGACAAGCCATTCCAACCAACGCTATCGGGAGAAGCCACGCAGTGTAGAACGTCACAAAGGCGTAGTAGAACGCGTGTTTCTCTCCAAAATACGTGAGCAGTGGCCACAACATTTCATACTGATGTCGTTTACGCTCCAAGAAAAACTGCTCGAGACTGTTGCCTGCAAAAGGCTGAAAAATGCGCTGAGAGGAGTCCGTGTAGCCCCATTGCCGAATGATGTTTCGACACCCCATGACATCGTGCAGTGGGAATATCGTTTGGATGTTGCCGTTCTTGATATGCTTCTGCAGGTCGATCTTCCTCTGAATAATACTGAGGATCACTTGCTGACGTTGTAAGGAGCGGAAGCTCTCAAACAATTCCGGAGAGCTGGCGCTGTACATAGAACGCGTTGAGGACCCACGATGTTTCACTTTGAGTTGTAGACGTTGAGCCTGCTGAATGAGCACTTCATCTGTAGCGCCAATAACAAGATAGTCGATTTCTCCCATCGCCTTACAAATTCCAGATACTGTGTCACGAACACCCGACCGAGTCACGACCAACGATGGAGCTATAGAGCTTTCTTCGTGCATCGTCTCAATGACCGTCTCTTTAAACTGTTTCCTTTTCACTCCATCGAAGAGCATTACGTATTCAGGTCGTGCAGATTGGTGCTCTATGCCGAGGGTGTGTCGAGAAATCTCACTACAAATGTGATGTAGCAAGGATCCCTCGACGTTGACGTTTGCAAGCTCCCACGCCAGACTTGTCGAGCAGAGGACGTTCGCAAAAAATCTCACTGCGCTTTCTTGCAGATACAACACTGCATGAAACAACGGAGTCTCGTTGCGATAATTTGTCCAGCCAGTATTCACATGCTCCAAAATGTTGAGTTGATCCGTATATTTCCCGCTTTCTGCGCTCGAGTCTGTCATTTCCGTAGGGTCTGAAATAGGAACGACGACGGGTTTCCTTGGTCTGGCTGCTTTACGCAAGAAGCTCGTCATGGAGTTCCCCACTGGAGAAGAAAAATCCGAAGGATGCAGTTGATTGTCGAGCATTTTGGCGAGAAAAAGCCTGAGAATTTTCACTTGGCCGTGAGCTGCAACAGCGTGAAGCACAGATTGCCTCTTGCCATATTCACACGAACATGTGTACAGCATTCGGAGAGAGATGTCGAGGCTGCTGTCGTCCATACTCCGTGCTACCAATGGCTTGACCGCTGCCTTCCCAGGACTGCTGCTTCCACCAACCCCCGTCATTTTCAGTTCTAGTTGCAGCAGAGAGCGCACTTCACTGACAAGACCGAAGCAACCTGCCCAATAAAGAAGATGTTGTCCGTATCGCACTGCGTCTTGGGCCGTCACAGATCTGGACCTGTTCTTCTGAAAATGCAACGGGTTGCGAGCGTTCATTTCGGCCACGTATCGTGTAAGGTGCGCTCCATTTGCAAGAAACTCGTGAATAAATAGCCGTACAGCTTCGATATGATCAAGTCGCAGACGCCAATGAGCGTATTCTCCGTTTGCTCCGTCGCAGTCTTCCGAGTTCAGTTGTCGTTGTAAAGTGGCCCTTTCGTCTTCAAGTGCGAGGCCACGACGTCCTGCAATATCCACCGCAAAGAGATCGTCCGTATCGATCAGCAGTGGAATAGCAATCTGAGTCTTAGCAAAGCGCCGTGTTCCATCTCCAACATGCAACACTGGATCCAACAACATCTTAATTTGCTCGTGGTTTCCATTATACGCAGCCCAGTGCAGTGGTGTCCACTTGTTGCTCTTCTTGGGCAAATTAGGCTGGTCTCCGTGGATTAAAAGCTGCCTTGTCATGTCCAGTCCGTCGTCAATGTGCTTCACACTGGAGCCACAACCGAAACAGCTCACACATTGCAGTGGCGTGTTGCCAAAGTGATCCACGTGCTGTTTGCCTTCCAGTAAGTCGCTCGGTGGGATCGCCCATTGAGGTGGCAGCTGAACTACAGCCATTGGAACCACACCCGAGCTTCCATCTTTCGTTACCATGGAGACTTTGAAAAGTGAGTCCGAGTCTGGAATGGGCTGGAGCATTTCCACTAGCGGCTTCAGCATTTCCACAACCTCATCTTCCGTCCGACTTGTGAAGTGCACGATACACTTTTTGCCCAAGAGCAGACGAACGACGCTTGATTGGCCACCCAGACACGCAGCAAGTAGAGCTGTTCTACCTGCGATTCCTCGAGCGCGAAGCTGAGACGCTGGAGATAACTTGCCAAACACCAGCAACTCCACCACACGCTCCTCGTTCCCGTTCTCACTGGCCTCATAGAGGTCCATGCAGCGCGATCAGAGCGGTCGTTGAAGCCAGTACTGATAAACTTGACAATCAAAGAGGACTCTATTCGAAGGGGGCTTTTACTTGGGCGAGTATGCTATAAATACTTAAGAAAAAGTACTAAAATGGTTCCAAAAAGTAATAATTACTATTCGTAGTGATATTGTTGCTTACAATTCGCTTTTCACTGAAGCTAAGTATTGGAGCATCCATTGGTAATCTATACCGTCATTTATTCAGATCATATCCGTAAAAATCGTTGCCAACAGCTAAAGTTCTCTATTGGCAGGGGGCTCGACGAACGGCACGCGGTATCTCTCAAGAATTACTGTCCAAACATTCTAAACTTGATAGAACTTGAGAAGTAGTTGTTGTTTTAGTCAACGGACGTTCCGTCTCAGGATGCTGCTCACTCGGGCTGCGAGATCGATCCAGGGACTCGGTAGTTGTAGCACATATCGTCGCCACTCCACGGAGAGGAACCGTCAGCTTCTGCGTCTTCAGTTTGGGTGCGTGTACTCGTCAATGATGAAGTTGTGGACTCCGTATCACTGTCCGAGAAAGATCTACTCATGCCAGCTATGCATCGCGACATGGCAAGTTTGCTGTCCACGATGGGAAAAGGGTAGTTTTTCCCGATGAGGCAGTCAGCGTCACGCTGCACTTTCAGCGGCGCTTTCCAAGGCTCGAAAACGTACTTGTCTGGCATATTGCGGAGCGCTGGGATGTATTTGCGAATGAACTGGCCTTGCTGATCCCATCGCTGCGGGAACGTGGATGGAGACGCCATGCGACGGTAGTTGGTGAAGAAGCAACTCGCACTCACCCAGAGCCAATTGCCAACGTTAATTGGCCAATCCAAATCGATCATTTTCTCTTGGAAATACGTCGCTCCTCGAAGCCACGAAATGTAGAGCACTCCGCGTGTCAAGAAACACGCCACAGCATGGCGTCCGGCGTGGTGCGTCCAACCTTCCTGGTTGATCTGCCGCATGACGGCGTCGATCCAGGGAAACCCCGTCCGTCCGTCCTTCCAGCACTGCAACTGGCGCATCGCAAGCTTCTCGTCTGCCTCCGTCACCTTCTTTGGCTCCTGTTCGTCGTATTCAGGGTGGGATACGTAGTATTCGTTGAGCAAGCGCCAGTCGATCTGTTTACAGCTCGGATTCAGTTCCTGTGAATCGAAGTTTCGCGTCCCACACATGTAGCAGTAGAAGAACTCGCGCCACATGAGTTGGCCTTCAAGTGTGACCTGTGTCGGCAAACCGGGGCGGTGAGGGTACTGTAGCTGGATGAACATGATGCGATAGAAGAATTCACGCGCACTCAGGCACCCAAAACTCAGGTAAGCACTCAGCGTTGTGGTGGAGGGGCCATCAATTGACACGGGAGAAGTTTTCGGCTTCTCAAACTGCCCCACGCGACGTTCGTCTTCGCAAAAATCGTCCAGTCTTTTCATCGCTGCGCTTTCACCTCCGATCAACGGTGCGTGGGGGGTTGGCGGTGTCAATCCAAAAGCGGTGAGCGGTGGAGCCACAAACAGCTCGGATTCGGTTTTCTTTACATCACCGGCGACTCCAGCGATCACATCTGCCTCACTGGGGTTTTGCTGACAGACATCCTCCAGTAGAGAAAACAACTTGTCGGTACTGAAGCATGCAGCGTTCAAGAGCTTCACTGGAGCAGGAATGGGTTGTGTTGGTTGTGGCATCTTCTCGGTGATCTCCAGAAGCCGTTCGTAGTCCGTTGGCGCCTGGCCGCTGTTCAGCCGAATGATTTCATGTGGATTATACAGCGTCACTCCTCGGATCGTCGTGACATTGACGTCCAGAGACTTCGCAATGGCACGGACGCGGTTATCGCGATCGACGGCGTAGTGCGCTACGCCAGCCTCAAAGAAGAGATCGGTGACGCCCCACGCTGCGATTACAGTGCGTAGCACCTCCTCGGCGTCTCCAGATAGCACCAACAACCGTCCATCCAGCTTTGCGATGGATCTAGCCAAGTCTTCGATCGCTTCCAGCAGAAACTGGAACCTCACGGGTCCGCATCGTTGGCGTTTGGGTCGGTGCAGAATGTAAATGGGCAACAACGCCATCTCCTCGTCGCCAGCCTTCTGTAGCTGCATCTGCGCGCGCATCGCTGCGTCCAGCGCCAAGTTGTCGTGGATCCGCAAGTCGCGACGGAACCAGACGATTGCTCGGCGTTTGGGGAGAGCCACATTCACTTTGGCTTGCTCATCATCATCTTTGACAGTCTCCACTTTTGTCGTCACTTCACCATCGAGGACATTGAGAGACGACGTCACGGTGATTGTCGGACTGGTGATGCTCGGACCATTATTATTGGCATTCTCAGCGTTATCTTGACGCGGCGGAGTCGTTAAATCCGCCTCACCATTGACATCGTTCTGCGTTGCATTATGGCGGCGCTGCGGCGTCGGGTGGTCGTCCACGTGGCGGACCGATGCGCTTCGTTGCCGCTTCCTGGTCATTGACAGGCGATCGACAACCGACTTCGGCGAATGCCAAGTCAGGCGGTGGATTGCTACCTTGGTTGCACGGTGTTTGTTGAATAGATCAAAAGTTGCCAAAGCTCTAGAGGCGACGATGCGCTTCGGCTGAGGTAAAAATTACGAATTCGATTGTGTTCAATTGACCCTCACCACAACGGTTGAAATGATTTCGCGCCATAACGGCTGCAAATAACATGCCCCAAATCTACTATTACCGGGTATTAAGTCACAGGACAAAATCGATATTTCTTGCAGCACTCAACAGAATGTGATAATACAGGTGGTTTGATATATGAGGGTTTGCGCGTTTCCAACGAAACACTCGGCACCAACTTCAACTGTCGATTGCCGAAATGGCTCCGGAAAATGCCAAACCTATTGCAGCTCTTTAAAAATTAAAAGCAATCACGCAGCACCAGCTGCAGCAGTTCCTCACTGCCGAGTGTAGCACGCAAGTTCACGCAGTAGGTCTCAAAGTGTTGGAACGTCACAACACCGTTTCCTCCCGCGACCTCGAAGCTGAGAGCAAAGTCTTGGAAAATCTGCGCTGCCGAACAGCGCCCCAGCACGACGTCTGGGTGTTTAACAGCCTGGAAACTCGACGCCAAAGCTGCAGGAAACACGCGACCATTGCCCGACGACTGCAACGCTGTATACACCTTTGTGGCACTAGCAAGACTCGCGGGACTGAGTCGCTCCAGTAGACAGTCGAGAATCAGTCTCAACGGAAGGCCATTGACTCGGTGCTCATGAGGGAAACGTCCATTAGTAGTGCTACCATTGCCGTTAGATTGGGAGAAATTGGAGAGGTGCTCGAACAGGGTGTGGCCTTGCAACTCGCCCAGAGAGATACCCAGAGCGGCGTTTAAGGCTTCACAGCAACGAGCACTCGTGATGATGCCCGTTCGAGGATCAGTCGATTGATTGAGTCGAGTACGAAGCTGCACGACGTTGGCCAATGAGTTACTCTGTCGGATACGATACCGGATGGCGTGAAGAACCGAGTCCCCGGCGTAGGTTGGCACAGCTTCAACACCAAGGGGTGGTCCTCTCGACGTTGTCAACCGATTTGCGTCAATCATTGCAGTACCGGCAGCAACCTCTTTAAGCGACAATATTTTCCTCTCCTTGACCGACTGCACAGGAGCCTCCGTCGTTGCGAATGCCGTTCGAGCCCCTGCCGCTGCTGGCTGTAAGAAGTTCCACGACGAGATTGTTCCATTTCCTCGGTTACGTTGGTTATCTTGTTGTTGAGGTGGAGCTGGTGGTTCAACGTCGGCATCGGACTTGATATCACTGCCATCGAGGTGCCATACACTGCATACCATCTCCTCGAATTCCCTGTGCGAAGGGATACTGGCGCTTACGTTATGGTAATATCCTCGCCATTGCTCCCACGTCACCTTCCCGTCCTGAGCGCTACCATCGATGTCGAAGGATTCAAGGAATTCCCGACAGACGAGATCAACTCCTCGTCGACCTGCCACTACGTCGGGATGTGCACTTGCATCGAACTGTTCCACAACGTCGCTAGGTTCCAGCGAGGCTTTCTCCACGTCGCGAATGCTTTTCACTTTCGCTAATTTCGCGAAAGCCTCTCGAACACACTCGAGTCGACGTCCTGTTAGTGCAGGTCGCACGATATTAATCAATTCATCCGGTGCGATTCGTCCATCGCCATCGTTATCCAAATACTGGAACATTAGACGCAGATCGGCGTCTGTGAGACCTCCAGGCAGAGTCAACTCGCAGTCAGCAGCCGCGGTACGAAGATCCTGCAGATTCATGGCATTGCCTCGAGCTGCCCGTAGACGCCGATTCAGAGTGCAGAAGCCTGATGCTCCCTGAGCTTGCAGCACTTGTTTCAGTCGGGATAGTATGGCTTGCACTCCTGCAGGGTGTAAGTGGAACTCACGGCTTCCGGGAGAGGCCAACCCAGAGGTCTCGATAGGCGGTTGTGTTGACGGAGCGTTACCGAGACAAGCAGCAATGCAGCTGCTCACATTGTTCTTCGCTCGTCGCAGTGTCATACTTGGGCTCGAGCCAGAACTGGATAAAGTGGGGTTGCTGGTATACGCAGCTGTATGATCCAGAATTTCGTGTACGCTAGAGCGTCCAGGATCTTGTCGATGAATTCCTCGAATCTTTTCACCCGGCGCAGCTCTGGCTACCCGCCCACCGGTGCTAGGCCCCAAGTGCCAGGAATTGCGCAGCATTAGCTCAAACTGTTCGTCTTCGTCTACCGCAGCACTCACATTAGCGTAATAACGTTCCCACACATCGAAGTTGACACGACGTTGGCGCTGACATTCAGTAACGAGGCCAAACGTGTCGAGAAACTCTGCATGCGCCTCACATTCAGTCTTCCGGCCCGACGTGACTTCGGGTAGCCGTCTGGCATCAAATGCATCAGCGATAGCAGCGGCAGCAAGATCGCCACTACCCAAGCGATCGAGGGCGTCGAATGCCATACGAACCACAAGCTGACGCTGAGTGTTCATGGGCTCACGAACACCAGTGAGGAACTCAGTTACGCTCATGGTGCCGTCGTGGTTGCTGTCGAAATGAAAAAACAAGCTTTGTGCGTCTCGTCCAGTGACATGTACTCCACTGCTCTTGAGAGCACGAACAAAGTCGTGAAATCCGATGTTCCCGTCGTTGAGTTCATCGCCGTAATACTCATCTGACCGTCCGGCTGCACGTCGAAGTTGCTGCTGTAGTGCGATAAACCCTCCAAGGCCTCGCTCTTTCAGCTCACAGCGGAGAGAATGAATCATACGACGTAGTTCCTTAGACTGCTTGTTAGCGGCACCGGGAGATCCGGGTGGCGCCAGATTCATGGCACTCGAAGGACTAACAACACCTGACACTGGCAAACGGTCAACCACATCTGGCTGGAGAATTGCAAAAGCCTGTTGACTCGCCATTCCTGTCCCGAAGCTGCGTTTTCCGCGCCACGTGACCTCGCCATTAACGTTAGTCGGAGTGAGGTGACGTATTGAATTTCCAGCAAAAGCACTTCCAAGCGGACTTTCGATGTGGACTGGCGGGGGTGCACGGCTCTTGTGGGCTGGATCACCAGTGGACGGCAAGTGCCACGTATTACGCACGATGAGTTCGAACAGATCGTCGTCGGGGACAAGGAAACTTACGTTGTGGTAGTAGGCTTCCCATTGTCGAGGCAAGATGTTGCCAGCACCTTCCCCACTGTTCTCGTCCATGTCAAAATTCTCAACGAACTCGCGAAAGCATTGCTCTTCGCTTTTGCGCTGTGCAATGACGTCTGGGTGTCGACTGGCATCGTATCGCTGAACTACGTCACAGGCAGCTAGGAAAGATGCTCCAGTCTCTCGTGCTAAGGTTTGGTACGCTGCATGAACGTGACGCAATCGACGAGAGCTCATGGTCCCGCGTACCAAATCTAACGCCGCCTCTACCGGCACAATCCCCATTCTGTCGACATCTAAGTGAAGGAAGATCCCGCGAAGATCGGCATCGCTGAGTGGTGGGTTGTTCACAGTTGTTGGACTTGTAGCTTCGTGTGAGCTCTGAAGAGCACGGCGAAACTCGCCTAGTGTAAGTTTTCCATTGCCGTCTGCATCACTGAGCCGTAGACAACGTCCAAGCTCTACAAGTGCCTGGATTCCTCGAGCACGAAGGCCAGTCTGCACTTTTCGTAGTACCGAAGCCGCTCCAGGATCAAGTGTCTCAACGGATGGCCCAGCAGCCCCCGAGCGAGTACTTGGCGGTGACGTGACTTCAGTGAGGCAAGCAGCGAGTTGAGAGCCTTTGAGAAATTCGTTGGTAGAACGAACAGCCGCTCCTCGAGGTGAAGCATCAGGATCCATTGGCGATAGTATCAAGCTGCTGGAACGGTGCTGTTCTCGTGGGGATGCCGATGTGGAAATGGATAGAACTACTTTCGCTTTGCTGCTAGTTCCTTGGTTCTGTTGAAGTGCCTGATATAGCGAGACCGGGACTACCGACGCTGGGGTCGGTGGTGGTGGGATCGAGTCCATTCGCGCATTGAGGTCTGCAGCCCCGGCAGCTTCTTGGAGAGATCGCCGCATGTCGGCACGCCATACACGCTTCATCAGCAGTTCAAAGTACTCGTCGCTGGGTGCTTGTGCAGCCACGCACTGGAAATACGTGAGCCACTGAGCCCAGCTCACAAACGCGGTTCCCGTCCGACGTGCAGCAGTCATGAATGAGGTCTGGAATTCTCGAGCCGCTTGCTCAGTTGTCTGCTCACCGAACATAACAGCCGGGTGTCGTCCGGCATCGTGTGCAGCTAGCACGTCTTGAAGAGCGAGATATCCAACTCCCTTACGATCCAGTGCTTCGAATGCCGATTGTACGAATTCCAGTTTCCTACCGGACAAAGCCCCCTACAACACAGCTCTTCCGTTACCAAGACCGAGTTTATCGTAGATCAAAAGCAGCACGTACGAAGATGAGATTTCTCACGGCGTCGGCTGTCACTCTGCCGTCTTCTTCAGCGTTTTGATTGACCCTCTGAACTAGAGCTCGTGCATCCTGTAAATAGGTTATAATCGGTTCTTGAGAATGCAAAACTCACTACACTGGAGAACGTGTGAAGCCACTTTACCACGTCCGAAGTCGACACCCGAGAGTCATTCAGTAAGCGCTTGAGCACGCCGTTGGTGACTCCACCGCTTTCGCTCTGCGCCTTCTCCAGCGCCAGACTCATGTTCACCCACGCACTGCAAAGAGAAGTAAATTAAGAATCAGAAGAGTTCTAACCGATTCGTAAGACTTACACAAGGCCTTGTGAGCGAAGCGAGGCGCGAATGTTAGTCAGCAGCGCTTGCAGATCCACCTGCTCGGCGCACTGCTGCTGTCGCTCCTTCCATTGAGTTAGCGACGACATTTCTCTATTGCTTTCCCCCGTACCACTAAAGCCCTGTGTCGATAGCGCCATCGCTCAGTTTGATCGCTCTGGAAGGTGAAGTGGCCGAGACAGCTGCAGTTTTCGCCAAAAATACAGAGCTTCCGCAAACATGGCTGCTTTTAGCCATGGACTTCAGACACGCGCATCCCTAAATCTGGATATACGACAGATACACATAAGCACTGACAAATGGGCTGGCATAAGAAGAAAACTTGACAACATCGGGACAATATATTAATGAATACGCCTCCTACAGACTGAACCCGAGTCTCTAGTGGTGTTGGGAGTCGAGTCGCTGGATTTTCCTCTCATCTCTTGACAGGTTTATATTTTTCTTTTAGTTCTGGTCGCTGTCGTCTGCGTGCTTCAGGAGCGGGTGCATCGTGGGGCCGCTTTTGCAATTCTTGCAGTTGTTTACGACCACGGCGCCACCCACGAAGGCAGGGCCAGCTGCATGTGCGGCGTCTACAGCCTCGACGCCGGTGCCCAGCCAGCTGTTGAGCACCAGGAACGCGAGCGTGAAGATTCCTTGCATAACGAACGGGTTTAGGAACGATGTGTGCAGTAAATAGCCAAATGCCAACTGCTCTCGAAGACCAGGTCGATGAAATGTTTGTGCGCTGGCCGTTTGACATTGGTTGAAAAACAGATTCGCGAGGGATTCGAGATTCCAGAACTGATCTGCTACAATGTAGCCTACCCGGTACATGTACTGAAACATGCTGTTAAATAGGTCGAGTCCATGTTTGGCAGTCGTGCCGTTGAAGAAGAAAAAGGCGCTTGGATAGTGCGAGGGTACATGTATTATAAACTGTAGCCATTTCGACAGCGAAGATATTTTTTGGCTTCCGAACAACTCCATGATCGTCTGCTTGCACAGGGTCGCCCCTCGCAATCCAACCCGCATGGCGCAGTGTTTGACAGTTTTCGCACGCGTCAATCGGATGCGCCTTTGCGAATTCTCGAATTCTGACCGTTCTTAAACTACTGCTCGTTAAGAACGGCCCTGAAGTCTCTATTCTTTCGCGCAATCCATTCCGCTCATTTTAGTGCTCCTTCTACTTTTAAAACGTCAACAATTTTCGTCACGACGGACCGCGGCATCGGTACATGTACACACTGAGCCCAGTGGCTCACGTATTTCCAGAGCGTAGCTGCACAAGCACCCAGCGACGAGTACTTTGAACTGCTGATGAAGCGTGTATGGCGTGCCGTTGCTCAAAATGCGCCTACAAACCTGATTGAATCGAATCGACCACACGAAAATGCATCAACTGGCCCTGCACAATTTAATCTTGAGCCATTCTGCGCCGGCAAAAATGTTCGAGAATTCGGCTTATCACCAAAAAACGACCTTACGCATTCTGCTCGTTCTTCAGAATCGCTAGTACATGTACAGCGCATTTTGGACAATTCGGTGGAAGTGCTGGATCTTTTCCAGATTAGTTTTCAGACGATAGTTCACGAAAATCAGCGGCTGATGGTTCTCTTTGTGGCCAACTTCAGGAATTTTAATTTCTTTCAGAATGTCGTCGCTTTGCGGCTGAGCGCTGTGGGCAGAGGCAGAGGCAGCAGAGATCTCAATGTCTGCGCTTGGAGCTTCGCGACCCAATGCGGTTGCTAGACGAAATTATTAATCGGGAAGCCCTTCCATCACGCGCTTTCCACCACGCAAAATCTTTAGCTGAGGCCCCACGTCACGGGTCGGAATGATTGTCAGTACAGGGCCACGATCACCCTGTCGCCATTTGCTTCATGTGCTCGTGACACGGATACTAGTACCTTACTTTCTGAAGGAAGGCAGGAAGATACAAATCTTTTTTTCTCTACAGTAGTGGCTGGGGCAATACTTCGAAGTATTGAGTAGCTCCTAAATTTGGCACTCTACGGACGCCAATGAGAATGTCCGCCCATAAAATGCTGGAACGAGTCATTAGACGTTCTTCTCTCAACTCTAAAAAAAGCGATACTGCAACTCGCAAGTAGTGCACCTTCAGTATCAGAATCTGACCTTAGTACCCATTTGCCCAGTCCACTGAATACAGCAGCGGTTCGTTCTTCATACGCAGATCCAAATTCTTCACAAACACATCCGCCACTTCTTCCGGGAGGCTGAGCGCTGACACGTGCGGGGTGAGGAATACCGATGGGTGGCTCCACAGCGGACTTTCTCTAGGCAATGGCTCCTTCTCAAATACGTCCAACACGGCCTTGGATAAGAGTCCTTCATCCAGCGCAGTCACTAATTCGGTTTCGTTAATCACATCTCCGCGTCCGACATTAATGAATACTGGTTTCTTGTCCTTGCAAGCCTGCAGTCGCTCCACATTCAGTATCCCTCTCGTGGCATCGGTACTTGGCAAGACGTTAACGACAAAGTCAGCAACGCTAAGAACATCGTCAAGGTCGCACGACACTCGGTCAGCACTTTCCTTCAGTTTATCAGCATCCTCCTTGCTAATGCGGCGCTTAAACCCCACGACTTTAAACCCCGCAGTCTTCATCAACCGACCGATTCCCTGGCCGATCTCGCCAAGTCCGAGGATACTGACGGTCAAGGGCCTAAAAGATCGGTACTTTAACTCCGTCCTAGCATATTTGTGTTGCTTCTGGAACTTTTGTACCTCGATGAACTTGCGTTCGAGCGCGATGACCCAGCCGAAGACGTATTGCGCCATGGCATTTGGCATGATGCCGCCAGCGCGGGTCAGGATAAACTTTGGGAATTCATTTCGGTCCGCCTGGGCCAGTTGCTGAAAAAATGGTTCCACGCCGGCATAGGTGGACTGGATCCATTTGACAGATTGCAAAAGATTGGGCGATTCCTTCGGTAGGAAGTTTGCGCGGTCTAGTAGCAACTTGGCGCCCAAACTGGCGTCGGCCAGGACGAACTCGGCGTCTTCGAGCGTCTGGCGCTGCGTGGAAGTGAGCGTCCAGACTTGCTGGGCCGGGACGGGGACGTCAACGACCTCCACCTGTTGCGCGGCGGCGGCACAGGACACCGCGAGGCGCGAGCGAACGGCTGCTCCCAGTCCTTCGATGGAAGAGATGACAGGGATACGAAGCACCATGGCTGTGTGTCAAACAAAATAATCTCTGACAGGATATTTTTCAGCACATCCTCACTTTCAATTTGTCTGTCAGACTTGATTACATGGAGGGATTTCAAATTGAAACTGTCAAAAAAAAACAAATTCTCGCAGTTTTGTGTTTGACATGGTAGAGACAGCAACATTGCCTAATTTGCCAAGACGATGCCGATCCTTTTGGCGGCCGAGGCCGAAGCGGAGCAGCAGCGCTGGGCGGGTGCTGAGCTGCTGGTGTGTGCCGTGATCCAGCTGCTACTAGTGAACGTAGCCTACCGCATCGATCGTATGCGCGAGGCTCCGCTGTTGTCCACGTCTTCGTGGGCAATTTTCTTTGGTCTGTTGAGCGGTGCATTGCTCGCGCTTGTTTCGGAAGTGGTAGGTCGCCGCAATTGCAATTATTGTACTAGTAATCTATCTGCTAAGTTGAATATTTTGGGCTCTCAATTGTATCAGCGCGTGCAAGGCGCGGGGCTAGATCCGCAGATTCTGTTCCTTGGACTGCTTCCCCCGATCATCCTGGAGGCAGGCTTCAATACTCAACGCAAAGGCTTTTTCAGCAACTTTTTTGCCATCTTGTTGTTGGCAATTGCTGGCACTTTAGTGGCTACTTTCGCCACGGGAGGAATCCTCATCTGGCTAGGCAACATGGGGGTGATCACTCATCTCACCTCCGCCGAGGCATTTCTCTACGGATCGCTGATCTCTGCTATCGACCCGGTGGCGACGCTGCTTGTGTTCAAGAAGTGCAAAGCTCCCTCTCTGCTGTTCAATTTGGTGTTCGGAGAGAGTGTACTAAACGACGCAGTGGCTATCGTCATCTTTACGCTCTTCCAGCGGTTCGTGGAGAGCGGTAACACCGACGTCAATGCCCAAGTAGCCATGTTCATGGTGTTCAGACTGCTGAGTATCGGTGTGGGCTCTGTGGCTTTGTCTGGAGCCATCTGCTACTCGTCTGCTTACTTTTTACGTCACTCAGACCCTGCACTGCGTCAGCACCCCATCTACGAGATGTCCATCATTCTGCTCAGTTGCTACGCGAGTTACTTGGCGGCCGATTTGTTCGAGCTCAGCGGACTGCTTGCGGTGTTCTTCAGTGGCGTGTTCATCCGACACTACCACATGTACAACATCTCCAAGGCCAGTGCGTTCGCGTTCAAGCAATTACTGTCCACAATGGCGTTTCTGGCCGAGAACTTCATCTACCTGTATCTTGGACTCAGCGTGTTCGCGTATCGAGACTCCTTCGTCTGGGACTGGAAGTTTATCTTTGCCAATTTCGGGGCGTGTTTGCTGGCTCGAGCGCTCAACACCTTTCCACTGTGCTCTCTCGCAAACCTTGGGCGCTCAGAGCAGCAAAAAATCCCCTTCACGTACCAAATTGTCATCTGGTTCTCTGGTCTGCGTGGTGCTATTGCTTTCGCATTGGTGCTGAATGTATCGACGGGTAACCCCATCCACGCGGCGATTCTCAAGAGCTCCACACTGTTCCTGGTGTTGTTCACGACTGTGTTCTTCGGTGCGGCGACAGGTCCTCTACTGCGTGTGCTTGGACTGGCGGGAGACCCTCAGCCTGAGCGAGATATCGTTAACTGCGAAGACAGTTACACGGGTAAAGCTGACGAGCAACAACCGCTACTACGACAGTCTCTGTCTCCTCTTGGGTCCCGCAGCGTGCACGGTCGTTGGGTGGATCTGGACGAAAAGTACCTTAAGCCGATCTTTGGTGGCAACCCACGTCTCCAGAGCGACACCAATCTGGCCAGATATGTAGAGATTGAAACGGAGACTCAGATTCCTAGTGCATGACACAGTCTTCCCTCGTGGGGACCACTCGGTTGATCCGTGCACATGAGCAACTGCTCCCGGGTTCTGCCTGGAGCAAGCGATAGTACGATAGAAAGCTCGTGGGACACGAAGAGCTCCACGCTTGTGCGGGGTCTGCTTACTAACACTGAAGTAGCAACTTATTCTTGTTGTGCACCAGTGTTCGTTGTCGTTGTCGTTTAGGTTACTGGAAAACTGGCGAGTAGACGTACTCCACACTCCCGATCTGGATCTGCTGGACGTCTTGGTACAGTTGGCGACGTAAGTGTCGGCGTACGACGTTGATCGGGTCCTGACGCATGTGTTGCCATTCCGCTTCCTCATGGAGGAAATGATCACGATACGTGGCCAATGCTTTCACGTGCTTGTCCTTGTGCTGACGGATCTCCGAGCAACGCACAAGCAGATCGTGTGAATTCACTTCCACCAACGAATCCTGCGCCGCTCTCTCCACAGTCTCAATGGTGCGAAATTTCGCAGCTTGCGTAGCTGGAACATTCTTCGACGAGTTAAACCTTGCAGTCGCTAAGGTTGACTGCGGGGGTGGTTTACCGCTTGCTTGGGTTCGACTTGGTTGTAGTATTCTTTCCCCTCGTCGAAGTGACGGAACAGTATGCGCAACGTGGTCGTTCTCATCTCGTTTTCGTTCGACGAGCTTCACTTTGGCCTTCCAGTTGCGCGTTTGCCATGGCGATTCCTGCGTACCAGCCAAGCGAAACACAAGTTACTTACGTATACGTCATGGAAACCTCACAGTGTACAACAAGAACACGTTTCGTACGGCATGCAGGCTGGCGAGTTTCTTGGCGAGCTCGACATCTCGTCTGGTCTTAGTGTTCACTTCTTGCGGAGATTTGATGCGCCGAAGACGCTGCCGATGCGCTTTGTGCTCTTCCGTGACGCGTTCCTCTTCAATCACCTTGGCGTCTGCGTCGATCAGAGCCTGGAACAACCTTTTGTGCTCTTTGGATCCTCCTAACGTGTTAGCCAAGTCCACTGCATTGCGAAGTTTCACTTTGCTGAGAGATTCCTCCAACCCTGCCTCAATGGTGTGAGGATTCTCTTGCCAAGGATTCTCGATTGTTGCTTGACTACTCAGCAATTGATTCGTCTTCTGCCGTAGTGCAACTTGCTCTGCCAACAAATAGTCACTGACCTCTGGCAAACCCAAGACATGGAGAGGTTCTGAGTCGACGCAAACTCAAAAGCTTCAACATGAAATACGGACCTGCTTCAATTTGATACTCGCCTACAACCACTTGTCTCCGCTGAAAATCTTTTACACGCTACAAAAAACAATGAGGGTGTGTTAACCAGCAGCTTTTTAGAAGAAGAAAAAAACTAACCTTAAAACTCTCGAGGGTCTGGCGTTTGCTGAAGTTGGCCGTGAGGTTGTCAGTCAAATTGGCTGTCGCCTCCGAAATCGGAAGATCAGGTATTGATTTGGTTCGCCTAGTTGCGTTGGGATTGCTGGACACCCCTCTCTTGTTTCCTAGAGGTTGCGTTAGATGATCCACCGCTCGAATAGTCAAGCGACGAGAGCGTTCACACTGCGCGACACAGTCAAGAAATGTCGTCGATTCAAAGAAGTGATCGTCGCGCTCTAGAGTGCCAGCAACATGTTTGCTTTTGTACCGGACGTAGTGTCGTTCGTCGCTGTGCAGGTCGTCAAAAGTGCTGATCGGATAGTTCCACGGCTCCAAGTCACAACTTGGTTTGCACTCTGGGGAAAACTGCGCTGGATCTTCCGGAGTACTCGATGCCAAAGGACGAAATAGTTGTTGCAAGAGCTTATGCTGGCTGTCTTCTTCTTCTTCTTCTTCACTTTCATCTAGAAGCTCGCTGTTTGCACTGTTTGCATGCTTCTCGGGTGTATTTGTCGAAATTCGTGGCGGTGTATCAGCTGATTTAGTGTCTCGAATCTCCTCACAGCTTTCGGCATCAATTTGGTACCGTTTGAGAACTTGGGGCAGCGGAATAGCAGTGATTCGTGCTTCATTTCGGAGCTGCAAACAAAAAGCGCTATTAAATGATCGCTGTCCTGTTGAAAGGAGACGTCACTCACTCATTTACTACCAAGTGCTTACCATTTGCTTGACAGTCATTCTGCTCCCATCGAAGCTCCTCTCATTCCCTTTGCCTCTGTCGACGCTCCTTGTCTTGTGCTTTAGTGTGCTACCACTGCCTTCACTCTTATTGTCGCCTTGATGCTGCGGTCTAAAGTACTCCAGTGCTTTGCCTCTTTCAAGCTCTACCTGGCGAGACTCCGAGTCCGTGATCCACTCGCGATTCAGTAGCTGCAGCATTGGGAACACGCGTCGACGAGGAAGCCGTGACCGATACAGAACTTCTCGTGCAGGTTGAGAAGCACTCGAGAACTTCTTTAATCTTTCATCTCGATGCAGTTCGCGTAGAATCTCTTCATCGAGATCTGTATCACTGAAAAGTAGAGACTCCAACAAGTACAGTCGATTATGACTCAATCGAAGGGGGTTGTCACGCAAATCTAGCTCGCATAACCGCGGCGCAGAAGCCAAAGCCAAGATATCTTCCAGCACATGAAGCAGATTGTTACTCAGCACCAACACTTCCAAGTACGGCAACTCTTGACTCACTCGAGATCCAGGGAATCGCGTCAGTACATTCGACGATAAATCTACTCGTCGAATATTTTCCATTGAGAAGAGACTCGACGGGACCTGAGTCATTCCGCGACCTCGAAAATTCACGCACATCTCGTCAAAATCTCCATCTTCACGCTGGTTTGCCATCTTTGTAAAGAGCTCTAGCTCTAGTTTCTAATGGTAAGGTAGCTCGTTAAAAATACTCGACGGTTGCCGGTTGATCATTACGTGACTGTCTACTAGGGAGTCCCTTGAAAAAATGGTGTCGGCTCTGTTGGATGAGTTGCCATGTCTTATCGACGAAGCGGGCGAACTCATGGCACGTCTCGGTAGCCACAAGACGCTATTGAAGACCAAACGGAAGGGTGCAACAGTGTCAATTTCTACTGAGAAAAAGGACTTGACCGCCGACGTGTCAAGAGAAGATCTCACGCAGCCGACTTCTCGACATTCGGCTTCAATCGAGAGAAGCCCAAGCAATGCGAACATCCGGCAGACTCTGGACGATGTCGAGTTTTTCTCTCGACAATATTTGACAATGCAGTCCATTTCGTACGAAAAAGTGAACGCGAACCTGCCAGCTGCTGATCTCGACCGCAAAGAACTGTACAATGTTGCCGCCAGTGTCTACCAGCTCATGAAGCGCCTACATCATTGGCAGCAGGCAGCGTGGGAAACCCTCACGAGGCTTTTCTCGGACAACAGCAGCAGTGATTCGTGTTTGTTGACCTTTGACAGCCACCCGGAGCTCACCCGCCTCGTACTCGCTACTGTCACCACGTACGTCAAAGTGAATCTGCTGTGGACCTCGTTCAGTATCATCCCAGCGCTGCTTGCAGTCTACTGTTATCTCCATCACGCGCAGACTTTAGGAGGGGACAACGCAACACCAATCGCAGTGTATTCGCCACTGGAACACACTGATCATCGTGTGCGCGAGTTCGTGCTTCACTTTGGTACGGCGCCACTGCTGGCGATCCAGCATGACTTCCACCTGCAAGTCGCTGACAAAGGAGCATCTCTTGCTGCACTTACACTCTCGTGCTTCGAGCGCTTCGAGGCGTGTCGAGATCTCGCCAAACTCAGACAACAAGGCGTGTTTGACCTCGAGCCACCCGTGAGTGGTGCTTACGCGTCACATTCCAGTCTTCCAGACCTTCTTAACGCTGCTGACGTTGTCGACTGGGTGATCTGTGTGGTACTATGCGTCCCTCACCAACTCTTCGCAAGAGACAGCAGAACTGCCTCAATGTCTCCCAGATCTATTCCGTCGACGCCATCATCGCCGTCGTCCTCTTCCGGTTCCCCGTCGTTCTTGTGGGATTTCATGGAGACTGTCGCTCGAGACCGAATGGTGTTCACTATTCATCGCAACCACGTCGTCAATCTCCACGATCTGCTTTATCAGCAAGTCACGTCGTCGCTATCCATTGCGGTTCTCAGTCCCGAGACTTCTTCGATTCCCTCGTTTGGAAAAAACCGCTCGGCTGTGTCTTTGAAGAGATCTATGAACTCACTAGGTAAGTACGCATTGAGGAACTGTGGCGTGAACCATCGCCAGCGACGAGAAGTGGCAATTTGGCTCACAAAGAATTGCGTGCAACTAATGCAACACAATCCGGGACTGGTGGCCCCTTCCTTTCCGCTGTTTCTAGCAGCTTTGGCCATCGCTCATGATGAGACGCAATGGGCAATGTGCCACGGAGTTGGCAACTCGAACGCCAGGTCGTCTCTTCTTCCAAGCCACATCAAAGCCAAACACTTGCAGCGAGTACAAACGAGCTTTAGTGGAGCTGAACGGGAGATAGCGGACTTGTTGACTCACTGCAATCACCTCCGACGGCTTCTAGAACAAAACTCGCATTTCCTAGCCGAGTATTATCAGACATTCCTTTTGAATGGAGACGCTGAAGGGATCGCGTACACTATTCATCAACTTCTCCTAGCGAACGAGTCGGCTTCAGAGTTCCGGTCTCTGCTCGAAGGGTTCTTGGACAATGAACGGTATCGTATCAACACTTCGTCGGCGCCTCGGGCTACGTGGGTGCGGGAATGGCGTCAAGCGAATGCTCATTTGGCAAGGCGAACCCAATTGCCGCTGCTGGACTCGCTTCGTGCTCGAATGGAGTGCGCAGTCAGACACACGCAGTACATCTGCAAGAATGCTCAGCTAATCGAGCAGACAGCGAACTTTTCCAAGTGCTGGTGGTTCCACAGGATCATTTTCGACCAGTGCTTTGAGCAGGTATTGACCACAGCACCGTCGTCTGCAGTTGGACTGTTGGAGATCCTGTCGAGTCTTGCGGCGGGGAACTACGTTCTCGATGAACTCGTAGAAACCGAAGAAGCGACTGAGCAGTCGGAGCGGATGATTCAACGCATGGATCGGATGCGAACGAGTTTAGTGGAGCAAGTGGAGCTGGGGCTCGTGTCAGTGGTGAAGCGTGACGCCATTCTCCAAAGAGACGAAGTGTCTGCTCTCGTACAAGAAAAGAATGAACCAGCGGAACACAAAGTCACTGCGAGCAACCGAAGGCTTTCGAGCTTTTCACGCGTGCAGTCGAGTCAAGCACTGCGGCCAGGCAGTGCAGAATTGAGACTAGCGTCCCCAACTGCCTCAGTTTTGAGCCGTAAGCCCGACAGTCGCAGCAATGCTTCGTCGTTCTCTGCTAACCTCGAGCATATCCGTGAAGAAGAACGCTGTTTGAGGCTTACGAGTGCCTTATTGAACCACATCCGGCTGGATAACAACATGAGAAGCGCGATTATTTGCCGTGTTCGGAGTTGCTTCGTCCGCTTCATGAGGGGAATCGTGGGTACGTCGGACTCCAATGGGGCAGGCAAGACAAGTGATGGAGTAGCTTTGCGCTGCTCCCTTCAAGACGCGTGTGTGCAAATTCGATGTTTCCTCAGGGCTAGCCAAAGATTGCTTGGAGGCAGCAGCGAATTGAACGATATGAGCGACGTCTCGCTGGGCGAAGCGGTCCAGAACGCCCTTGCTAAGGATCTCGCAGACGAGTGCAGTGCTTCGACTTCGATTCTCCCCCAGGACAAGAGGCTGTTAGAATGGACAACTGAGTTCCCGCGTGTGTCTGAGAAGGAGTTCGAGCAGTGCTCACTAGTTGACAGACTTTCGTGGCTCTATGTCTCTCTCGTGACGACATGGTGTCATCCTCTACCTTCTACAACGGTATCATCGCCTTCAGTTCTGGCTGCTGTGCGCAAACACTGCTTTGTATTGGCTCCTGGGGCCTCAAGCGAGGTGGACCCACGAGACTACACGGATCCGGAAGCTCTGCGCCATCTCAAAACTTTGATCGGTTCGACGGGTGTTAAGTCCGTATGCTCGACCGTCGCCAACCTGGTGGTAGCGCAAACGCTGAAGCTACGATCTTTGATTGAAGCAGAGCACGCCGTGTTGGCGTTCATGGACATGGCAATGAATAACAGCTCAAATGCCGATGTTGTTCTCGCTACAGCCCAAGTCCGAGCTCTAGACGACATCGCGACTCTACTCGTCCAGATTGGGACAGCAGTTTTCCTACTGCAGCTGCTGCACGACCACAGCCCACACGATACGTCAGACGCGTGGGAAGGTCGTGTAGCCCCTCGGCTTCTCCGCGAGCTCCAGCAAGATCCCGACCGACGATCCACGTGGACACGGCTGCTACCAGTTGCCTGTAGCTCAGGTTTCCATTCGAGTGTGTGGAAGCGAACAACGTACTTGTCAAGCGAAGAGGCAACGGACACTAACGCGCACATGATGGGGCTCGCCATGGCTCGACTGATTCCTTCACCTCACAGTAGTCAATCCATGCATCGGTGTGCTGTGTCGGCGTTGAAGCGGACTACGGCGGACACGGCGCAGCCAACCGCTGGTCGATCGAAGGCGCATCTTGACCCGGGGTCGTCGACGAGGCCTCTATTGGAAGCACTGGAGCTACTGGTAACATCTAGGACATCGGACAGCAGTGAAGCGCAAGGATCCGCGCTCGGGGAGCTGGAGTTGTCGCTTGAGCGCCTATTGCCACACGCCACTGCACTCAGCCGTGTGACCTCACTGAGATTACCTCAGTGAGGTGAGCCTCACTGCAAACTCGCTTCTATGACGTTGAAGCTGATCACTAAACAGAGGTACACTGGAGTCAAGTGCCCGGCACAGTTCCCTGCGAGAAACGCGACCTCAGCTACAGCGGCGACTACGGAAGCACTTTCGGCTCAATCAGCGCTGTTGCTGGCTCCCGCTGGGGAGCCTCCCGCGTCCACGGTCGCCTGACCCTTCAGCTGCTGGTGGCGGGCGATTGCGCGCAAATCTTCTAGACCTCAACTCGAACTTTGAGTCGAAGACCACCCAGCTGCAATGATCACTTGGCTGCTGTCCTCCCGGCGAGGCTTTCGTGCATTTGTCCGTGGCTCGCTCGATCGCTTCCAGCTTGAGCTTGGGGCCGGAACCACCGGCGCCGATTTGCCGCGTGTTCAGCGCGTGTTGACGAGCTTCATTTACAAGCAGAAACGGGCGCGGCGATGACTGCGCTACGCCAAGACGGGGCACACGGCGTCGATCGCCTCGCCTCAAGTCCTGGCACTATCGGCGGATGGTGGAAACTGACTGGTCGCATGCAGCAATGGCCGTACGCACTTGTATTGCGGCTTGCGCCGAGTAAGTTGCTCGTCGCTACTGTAAGCCTGCTCAGGGGTGCAAGATGCAAGTACGGTATGCTGTAAGGCCGTAGGTGGCAAGAATGAGGCCCTTGAATCTAATAAAGGGCTGGACAGGTCGAGTCGACCTGCTGCGCGCAGTGAACGACAAGCGGATGTGTGGTACGGAGCGGACTGATCGATTGGCGACGACGGTCCCCGGTCTCTGCTCGTCACCGCCACCAACAAGGTGGGAACGACCACTGCATAGAGACAAGCCGCGCGGACAGCGGAGCCCGCTCTCGCTTGTCCTGCGCAGTCAACACGGACAACACGCCAAAGTCGAGTCGGATGGCCTGGCATAAATGCCATCATGGCCACGATGGCCACGGGCTGCTTTCAGCAGTGCTGAATCAGCACCAGCCGGCATCGTGATGACATGAAAATCAGTCGCGGAGAGGGAGGGAGGGTATCCGACACATCCGAGGGAGTTTGCAGGCGAAGACGGATTCGTCTTGGGCGGCAAGGTCCTTGCCAAGGAAGCCTTACTTTCGGGTGTCGCATCCAGGCGACGAGCGACTACAACCATACATGTAATTACCGGTACCCGTAGTACGGGTAATTACGGGCCGTACGCCCTGCGGACTGTGCACGCAATGCGGAGACCATGACCTGCGACTGCGGATCCGCCGTAACGAACCCTCCAGTACTTGTATTAATGCGTGCGAACATGCTGTACAGTACAATGTTGCCGCGCTCTGCTTGTACTTACAGTAAGTAAAAAACTTTGAAGTACATGTACATGTACGGTAGTGAACCCAAGTCGTTCGGCTGGCAAATCGCCCTGAAAAGCACATTGCAATTCTGGTCTTACGCACGGCTGGCGTCAACACGCGTAATCCATTCAATCGTTGTCAAGTCGAGATGAAACTTGAGCGTTTTTTTTTAAAGAGTGTACAGTACTGTACAATACACAATTTGTTTTACCGTATGTCGAACGTACAAAACACAAACATTTAGTACTACAGTACTACATGTAGTGTATTAATAGTACACTAGGCCACAGGCTAAAAAAGTGAATTTTTCGTCAGTTATGTGCATGTACCTTATATAGCAGTATTTGCTCACGATACAACGCTATCTGGCGCAAACAATACAGTTTCAAATTTAAAACGCCTTAATAATTCTAAGCTGCGATATTTTCGCATATAGCTCAATCACTTTTAATATAACTAGGCTGCAGCTGTAATATTCAAGTATACATAACAGCGTGGTATCATTGGCAAAAATATGTATCTGAACTAGTGCGACATCGTATTATCTATAATATATCTGGTTTTCGCGAAATCCTGTTGGAAAAAAGTCAAAGCACAGAGAGGAAGCTCAGATTCACTTGTCAATTACCAAGATGCCCAGTACAGCCAGCCAAGTGTTCGACCGCCTCAACCGACAGTGGGAGGACGAGACCTCCAACCTCATTGGCAAGTTGGAAAGTGAGGAAGATGAAGTGTCTCGCTGCTGTATTTGCACTTGTAGAGTACCTGATATTGTACTGGCGAGATGAAATGCAACACCAAACATTGCCCCTTCACAACTTCTCACCCAATTACCCAATTTATATGGGCTTTTTTTTGTTGGAAAGATAATGATTTCTTCTCTTAAGTAGTCATAATCATCCTTGAATATCTGCTCAAATTCACATGCTACACTTAATCGAAAAGTGCGTGTCTTTCGTTCCGCCCAAAAAATCGAGGCTATGTTCTTGACATACGGCATCAGATGTTTTGGTCCTTACAAACTTTAGTATTACAATCAACAATGCCCTTTTTACTCATTTCTATGCACATTTGATCCTAGGAAGTGGGGCTGTCGGCGATGCGTTTAACACTGCATGCAGCAATCCCTACGCTGCTCCTGTAGCTAAAACCAACTTCTGCAGATGCGTTGCATTCCAAGCTGCATTCTGGCGTAAAGCTTGTCACTTTAGGCTTCTTTGTTTATTAAATATCGCAAGAAATGTTCTGTGCATGCATGATCAGCATCAATTTCCCGCAGACGTTTGAGCTTCCACCATTTTAATAAAAGACAAGAAAGTCAAACAACGTGTGTTTGTCTGTGATCTCTGTGCTACCCTGTTTCCATTGCGGGTCTGCCGGCATTAATCCGATAATTACTTTTGTATTTATGAGCAAAACAAAAAAATGGTGGTGCATTTCATCTCGCCAGTACAATAGTGTACCGGTATTGATAACAAAGAGTAATTCATAACTAAGGTATCGGCAGAACCCAGGTGTCGTTGAAATAGACCGACTCTTGGGTAGAAGCCTCCATAATTTAATTTTTGGGTCACAAATGTAGCCAACTGTATTTCATAGGATCGTACTTATACCAGAAGTAGCATGAGATGCGAAAATACTTAAAACAGCAGGGTAAATGCAAAAAAACAAGCATGTGCTTTTCCAAGAATCATGTTTTCCGGGATAAGGCATGGAATTCGCATAAAATTAGATTTTATGCGAAATCAAGCACCATACGCTAAGACACACTTTTTGAGACTGTTATCTACTGTAAACGATTTTGCCACTTTCGAAATTGCGATGCAGCATTTTCAAACGTTGTACATGTACCATGTATAATACTACTTCACGATGTACAAAACAACGCCCTCAAATAAGCGGGTACACGGGGTACTTTACATGGTTCTTTGTTCTGCTCATAATTACACATCTCTCTGTCTCAGGTATCTAAGCCACGCGTGTTCGTTTAGAGCGAGGCTCATTGCTACCGCCGTCTTCAGTCTCCTTGTCACCGTTGCTGCTGTTACTGTTCTTGGCTAGGGCGGCATCTGAGGCAGCGGCCTCTGTGAAGCTGTCACCGTTTGAGTGAATCATGAGGGCGTTGAGTACGCACGGGTACTGACTCTGCTTGGCATGCGCGGCAATCTGGCTGAGTGTGACATTAACGACGGCGCGAACCGTCTCGCGGCCTACACATGTGTTGAGAATCTCCTCCTTGGGCAGTGGTCGGTGTTCCTGCTTAAGCAGCAGCGCCGAGTTGAGCGTGCGCACAGCGTAGCTGCCCGAGAACGCCTTGCGAAACTGGAAACGGCAGCTCGGACAGGTACTGCGCAGCTTGAGCCACGAGCGGATACATGGCAGGTGGAACTCGTGGCCGCAAGGCAGCGACACAAATTGCTCGTCGCCGTTCTGCAGCTCGCTAAGGCAAATGACACAATCCTGGGCGCACGAAGAGCTGGGAGAGACGCTGGTAATCGAGCGCTTAGAGCCCACTTTGGGGGTCTTTGCGCCGCTGACAGTCCAGGAGGCAAGGTTGTCCATGACCGACTTGTCGGCGGGGGCCGCGTTCTTGAGGTGCGGCGAGATGTAGCGCACCATGAAGCGCACCCAGGCGGGCGTGCGGAACATCTGCAGCACGTCTCGGATCAGTGCGTTCTCGGGCGCCACGTATTGCACCTCCACTCGAACGGTAATGTCCATATTTGCTGTTGGTTGCCGAAGAAGCTTCGCGGTAGCCGTCGCGACGCAAATGGCCGAATGAGCGGAAGGGTGAGCAGCGCGGGAGCGAGGGCCGTTCGAAAAGAAAAGGCCGGCGAATCCGGCAGCGTCTCTGGACCTCCAAGTTGGAGTCCAACTGGAAACCCACTGTAGCCGCCCTAGCCCCGCCGACGATTATGACCACAGAGGCATAGCCAGGCGGCTAGTGGTACAGTACCTGTACAAGCTACTTCGAAGTTTGGTACATGTAGTACTGTACATGTACATGTAAATACTGCAGACTACATGTACAGTCTAGCTTGACTCAAGTGGCGCGCACATGTAAAGTAGATTTTGCTCAATTAGCTCAGTTTTTGGTCAATCGCTCCGGATCGCTTCCCAGCGTACTGGAACAACGTATGGCTATCGCCCACGTCGGCCGGCGTCCGGCATAACGGCCCGCTCGAACGCCACATTTGTTGGAAAAGCAGCGGGACTTCAGCTCTCTGGAGTCGAGAAGTGCTGACATGTTGCCAGGAGTGGTGTTGGTCGCGCTGTCCCTCGTCACTCACTGCATTTAAGTCTTACGTTCAAAACGTTAGACCTTGCGATGAGTCTTTAACAGTAGAGATGAGAGCTAGCCGGCGTCCACACTATGCTGGTTGCTGCGGGTGTGTGGCCGCGGTGGCCATCGCTGTGGCGCGTCCCGACGATGTCATCTTGTGAGTGCCAAGATGAAGTTGGACCCTCTTGACTTTTTAGCACAAGCACGCGACGTCATTCGGTTTGCAATGCAAATTGCACTACTGCGCTGTGGCACAGCAGTCTGTGGCCGGTGGTGAGTCTCAATACAGAAGCTACAAAAATGCGAGGTATTGCGCTCTGACGCTCGCAAGTCCAGCACAACGATCTCCGATCTATCCCTTGCTTTTGGAAAAGCACGTCGCCCGGGAATGAATGCCGCTACAAGATTTCAGACGCGCACAGACCCTGTGACAAAGTGCTGTGTGTGATACCTCCATTGCAAGACCTTCAATGGTTGGAGGTTCCATCGCCACCACAATGAACTGGTGACGACGCCTTGCCCGCCTGATGCTGAGGTGATGGCGAAGGACGATGCAAAACAGCGATGTGTCTCCTTGCAGGCGTGCAGCAACTTGCTGCCAGCAAGTCACTCACTCGGGGCGGACCAGCGCAGTGTCTACGGTGGGCCCCACCGGGTGGGATCCGCGTCCACCCGACATAGTACCACTAGCACGGCGAGAATCCCTGATCAAGTGCACGTTAAAATCGCGCGGCGCAACCTTCAAGCCTTCATGTCGCGAGGGAAGATGGCAACTTGCTGGTGGCGGTCATCGTGACCTGGTACCGGCCGGCTGCGAGCGGTGAAGCCCACGGCAAATACAATAACTGTGTCCGCTCGCCAGAACGTTAGACACGATACGGTACTGCCATGCATACTCACCCGGCGGGCGACCCGCAGCGAACAAGCCTCGAGGCCCTCGACAAGGAGGAGTAAACCAGTTGCAGATTCGATCGTGAGTAGTATTGACTAAGTGGATCCCTGCATGATTTGAGGGTGCATGTACTGAAATCCATACTGTATGTCGGGCAACGTTGAACTGTTGGAGGAGCGAAGCAGTGGGCGCCACAGTGTGGCGGGTGTACGAAATTATACCGCACTGCGGTCTCTCAGACTCTCAGAGTGAGACTCAGTTGCCTCGCGAGTCGCAAGTTGCGGCCGCCAGATCTGCTGCGCGGGACTCGTCTTCTCCGTTTGGGATTACGTGTATACAACTTGTACAGTGTTGTACAGAGTTGTTCACTGTGCGAACGGTGTTCAGGCTGGAGTGGCCGCAAGCAAACCAGATCTTTGTGGGCCATAGTCACTGTGATAGTGTGGCAGCACGGCGATCGCGATCTCGGCCGTCTAGCGAGTCATCACTCTTGCTTAACGCCAACACTCTTGGCAACAGTACCGTGACTTCGGTACACGATTGGAATGGAAAGTAGTCTTTGTGTTTGTCAAGTCCACTAGCAGATATACAAGGTTATTTGAAGATACAGCGGTGATTACCGATAAGTGGTTCATTACATGCACACTTCGATTTCGGTGAAGCGGACCGCCCAAGAATCTCGGCTGTGGGAGACCGCCGATTCAGCGGAATCAGGCGAATCTGACGTGACAAGCTGGCTCCTGAGCACTGCGTATCTCGGCAACTTGGGGGTCTCTACCGTTGTGCTACGCGGTTTCTATCGCGGCTTAGGCGAGCAGCATGTCCGACTCCTGCGGCGACGCGAGCTCCTTCTCCTTGAGGTGTGAGCGCGCGACCGCCTTGTCTGCCTCAAGCTGCCAATTGGGCCGCCCAAAAGCTACCGCAAACCCAATGAATGACGTTACAGCGTAGCCGCATATAATGCCGTGCCAGACGCCCAGCAGGTTCGGGTGCGTCTGGTGCACGCCCAGTATGTACGCCGTGGGCACGCCGACCAGCCACGCCCCAATGGCGAAGCCCATCATGATGGGCATGGGTCTCGCCTGCGCCTTCAGCACCGCCTACAATAGAAAGCCACGAGTGCTTAGTAGCTGATCACCAAAGTGAGCAAGTACATTATGCTGGAAATGGAGACTTACGAAGGAGTAGTAGAAGAACGCCAGAACAAAGTATGCCAACGCGGCCAGCGCGCATATCTCGCTGAAGGTGTCGATGACTTGCGGGTTGTTGGAAAACAGCCACCCGAGCTGTCGTCGCGCGCTCACCACGATCACGCCGTTGGTTGTGGTGAGCAGTGCAATGCATATTCCACACATCTGGGCTGCGAGAAGAGCCTCCGATGGTTTGCCTGCCCCCAAGTGCATGCCCATGCGCGTTACCCCCGCACTTACGACAGCATAAAGGGGCGAGGTCGCAAAGAAGAACAACTCCATCATCGCGTTGTGTGTGCCTAGCTGGACCTCACCGATCGTCGCAGCGAAAAGCGTCATGGTAATGAGCTGTGCGTTTTCGAACAGCGTGCCACCCGCGAGTGGAATTCCCACAGACAAAAGGCTGCGAAGAATGTTGGCATCCAAGAAGCTGCCGTCGCAGCGCCAAGCGCATCGGCGGTGGAACTTGCGGTACAAGTTCATGTACACGAAATAGCCAGCGAGTCTGGCGAACAACGCCATCGCTGTGCCAATCGGGCACCCGACAAGTCCGAGCTCCGGCAATCCAAAGTGCCCGTGCGTGAACCCGATCACTAGAAAGCCGTTGAGCGCTACTGCTAGCATGTTGAAAACCGCCGTAGGTTGCACAATGTGCTGCGCCTGGTAGAAGCACGAAAGCACTTGAAACATACTGCGCGGCCAGAGCCACAGCAGTGACAATCGGCAGTAGATGCCGGCGAGCGCTGCCACCCGATCGGTGACGCCTGCAAGCAGGAGGATATCACCTAGGTTCCACCAGAGCACTGCCAGCGGAACGCACGCCACAGTGAGCAGAAGACTCGTCATCAGTGCGTACTCTCCCAGCAGGTGATAGTTCTTGGCGCCAAAGGCCTGCGAGCACAACGCGTTCATACCGGCATTAAAGCCTTGCATACTCACAAGGATGGACAGGTCCATGCACATCTGCGCGTACGCCACGGCCGCCAGTTCGTCCACACCTAGATGCCCCACAACACTTAACTCAGTGATGGAGACGGCGAAGAAGCAGTAGGTGGACAGTGCGCTGGGCACCGCTAGCTCCAGCAAACAGCGCAGTTCGCGACGAGCAGATACCATGATCCGTTGGCGTTTAGGCTAGAGAGTGGGAGGCGACCGTCAAGCGGATATCGTATGGTGATGAAACCTCTGCGGGTCGAAACGGTCCCCATCGACTTCCGCTAGCCCAGACAGCAGGATCACAGACCATGCCGACTCAAGACTTAGGTTGAAGTTTTCCAGTGCTCAAGGTTCTCATTTGCAGGAAGTTTTTCGTGCCCGCATGTTGAACAAGTTGGTCAGCTACAGACTGTAGTTGAAATGGGGGATCCTTAGTAGAGCTTCAACTTGCCCTTTGGGGGTACATGGGGTACACGTCCCGTACCCTATTCGTACCTTCCTTTCGCTCAGATGTCTGTCAATTGGCTGGAGTTGCACGGCTTTAGTGCCGGTCGCGGCCGCTTCCTGCTGACTGTGCCACGCACCACTACTGGCTCTAGCAACAATAGCGAGGACCTGTGCTCAGGAGATGCACTGGCAATCCGCGTACTGGAGCGCGACCTAGTGGACCTGCAGAGATTGGACCGTCAGCTACGTAACAGAGGCCCCTCCGGTCTGCAGCGACTACCCACCAAGCGTCTGCGAAAGCTGATGTCCAGTAATTGGGTGCGCGGTGATCGCGCATCTGGATGGCGCATAGAGCTGCAGAAGAATGTGAGCGTGTGCGAGGACTGGCTTAACACTGCAGTCGTGCACCTACCGTCAGCGCTGCAACAGGAATTCCTAGACGACGACCTGTACACCGCGACCAAGCGCAAATGGGCGTCCGAGCGTGCGGAAAGCAAACACGCTCGTGATATGCAGCAGTATTTTAGCAGCGCCGAGCTTGTGGATCTGGTGGTGAAGACGGTGATGATGCACTTGAATGTGGAGCAGCAGAGAGAAGTCGTGTGGCTCGAGCCGTCCTGCGGTGACGGCCGGTTCCTGACGACACTCCTACGAGCTAGAGCGCAGCACGTCGTCGGCTACGAGATTGACGAGAAGCTGCACGTAGTTGCGAAAAAGAATGTTCAACAAGCTGCTTTTGACGTCTCCTCGGTTGACAAAGTCTCTACTGTCCAAGCCCACGTTTGTGTGGGAGATTTCCTGGCGTCCAAGAGTCACGTACCTGCTGACAAGTTCGTTGTTGCGGTTGGCAACCCGCCGTTTGGTGCAAAAGGCGGCGATGGGAGCGACCGCGTGCATCAATTTTTCCGACACGCCGCGAGAACTTGGCGAGCTCGCATCATCGCGTTCATCGTGCCGGAAAGGTGCTCACGGCGCGAATTTGTCGAGAACACGTTGAAGCAGCTTGAGGATCTCGACGGTGCTGCGGGAGCCTGGACTCTGGCGACGGAGCTCGCACTCACCGGCTTCCAGTTCGAATTTGGCACGGGCGCAAAGCTCAAACGTGTGCGCCAGCCGAGTGTGCTGCAACTTTTTGTCCGCAGCGATCTATAACACGTACGCTGGGCAGGATAGAGGCGGCGTCAGCGACACCAAAGTCAAATGCGCCTTCAACACGAACATCGCCGTCGTCTTGTCGAGCTTTGCAGGTCCACCACCGTCCAAATTCATGTACAGTACACATCTGTGTCTATCTTACTGCCACGTCTATCTTAATTAAACTATCGAGATTGTCCGCTCGTTCAGACAACACGAGTTGGGTACAGAGAAGGTCCCGTTTGGCATTGTGCACTTCCAGCGTCAGTATAAAAAAAAACATTGGGAGTATGAGCAGCCGCCAAGGCGAGTGGCAGCGCGTGCAGGACGCGCAGGGGCGCTATTTCTACGTGAACCACGCGACCCGCGAGACGTCATGGCACTTGCCTACAGCTGATCTTCCACCGGGCTGGGAGGAGCTCATTGACGGCCAGGGACGAGTCTATTTTGCGAACCACAACTCGCGTACAACCACGTGGATGGACCCCCGTGTGGCCGCCGCCCGACGCCGTACACGCGGCCAGTCGGTGGCGTCATCGCGAACTCCGTTAAGGAATAATATTCCTCCGGTTGACAATGCTAGAGAACGCTCACCGACGTACGAGGACCCGCGACGCGCGTCCGGCGGCAGCGCCGGATCCCGTTCAGACGCCGCCAGCAACAGCTTCACTCGCAGCGGCAAGAGCAGTGGAGGCAATTTATCGGCGGGCTCTCCGTCGTCATTGGGTGCTCCGAGGGATACGGCCGACCAAACGATCCGGATGAACACGTCCACGCTTCTGGAGAGATACAGGGACGAGGCCAATCTGGGCGACACAGCGGTGATGCAGACCACCGAGTCGACAGCGCTGCCCGTTGATGCTGAGGAGTGGTTCACAGCCCACTCGGAGGATTTGTCGAGGCGCTCCAGTGGAGAGAAGAAGGAATCAGAGCTGGAACAGGCGACGACGGAGAAGGAGGAGACGTCGTCTGCGGACGTACAAGGAGAGGAGACGGCTGCATCGTCCTCTGTAGTGGAGGAAGAGAAGGATCTGGCCCAGAGCGACCACCAGCAGCACCACCAACAGCAACAGTTGCGAGTGTCGGGTGCGCGAGGCAGCAGCTTCAACACGGGCGACGTCCAGATGGTGCTGCGACGTTATTTCGCGCCGAACTTCGTGCGCGACGACGAATCCCCGGCGTGTCGGCAGTGCAGTATGCGATTCGGCACCTTTCGGCGCCGTCACCACTGTCGTCTTTGCGGCAATGTTTACTGTGCTGACTGTACGACCAACAAAGTGAAGCTTCCCATTGAAGCTCCTTCGTACGACAAGGAACAGCCAGTGTGCACGCGCTGCTTCCGCAACGTGCAAGCAGGCGATTTTTTCAGTATTGTGGGGCTACGTCACAAGCTGGACGATCCGTCGTCTACTGTCGATGACCGGGTCGAACAGATCATGCAACTGGCCATGACTTTGTCGGCTGGGCGACCGGAGACGGACGGGAACATGGGACTGCATCGCGTCGCACAGCTCAACGACGTGGAAGCAGCTGGAGGTGTGGCGTCCTTTTGCCAGTTGCTAAAGACTGATGTTGAGCCACTGCAACAAGCTGCACTGGAGATGCTGGCGAACCTGATTGAGCTTGAGAACAGCGCCGGCAATGAACTGTCGGCTGGCGAGGCCTTTGCGAACTCAGGCGCGTGTGCGCAATTGGTGAAAGTCATGGGGAACCGCGTGATGGAGCAGCAGCTAGGCCGCAGCGTGCGTCCGGAGGTGGAGCGCATGGCTCTTCGTCTTGTGTACCACCTCTGTCAGTCGACAACGTGCCAGAACGCACTGCGCAGAGCTGGTGGAGGCTCCCGATTGCTGGAATTGCTGTCGGTAGACTCGCCCTCGTCTCTGGAGATGCGCGTGGAAGCGGCGCGTTGTCTGAAGCGTTTTGTGCAGAAGAATGCTGAGAACATCACCGAAATGACTCAAAACAAGGGCGTGTCGTTGCTGTGTACTCTACTGGGAGACTTTATCGAGCTGCGCGCTGGCAGCTCTTTAGGCAATAGCGGAGTTGAAGTGCCTCGAGATGAGTCGCATGAAGTCGGGATGGAGGCCATTCTGAGCACCATCTGTGAATGTATCCACTTTGCAGACAATGGAGCGTCACAGGTGCAACGTGGCGTGCAGCAGATTCCTTCGGACAGCATCCACTCGTTCGTTACGGTGCTGCAGAAGGGAGATCGCGTGAACCGCATGCTGGCGTCACAAGTTTTGATTCAGGTGTCGAAGGAGCCGTCGCTCATTACGATCTTGGCCAAGGAGCAGGAATTTATCAAGGAAATCATGTGGATGCTCGATAGTGACGAAGACTACACTGTCGCGTCGGAAATTCTGTGCGGGCTTTGCTCCACGATGCCTAAGCAGTCTCTGAGCGATACTGCCCCTGGAGAGAACGTGGAGGACGCACACGAGCAGGTTCTGAAGGTCATTTACGACTTGGAAGTGTTCGATCTTGTGCTGAAGAAGCTGAACGCTTGCGTTGTGGGCGAGAAGCAGCTTGTGGGTGAGATCACGTTTCAGAGGAATTTACTTGGAATTACAATGAGCTACAGCGCTGAGTCTGCGGCGTACGTGGACTTCATTTGCTCGCGCAACTGTGTGCCCACTCTGTCGGCCTTCTTGCTGTCCCGCAAGGAGCGACTGATCCCGCTGTGCGCGCAGACTTTGATGAATCTCTGCGAGTTCAACCCCAGCATCTTCGACGAACTGTACGACCGAAACGTGTCAGATTTCTTCCATCGTCTACTGCAGACACCTCCCGACGAGAATCGGCTCTCAGCTCTACGTTATTTCCGCGCTCTTGTTGACAACAAGCGGCCGTTCTCTGTTGGCGTACTGGACACACTCTTCCTGATGGCGTCCGGGAGAGACGAGGTACTGAAGGCCGGCAGTCTGGACGTGCTTGCCCATCTGAGCGGTGTCAAATCCATTGAAGCTGTGCTCGAGCCACTGGAGGAGCCTCCGACTCCGGAAATTGGGGAAATGGTGCAGAAACTACAGGAACGCGTCGTTGGTGTGGCGTATTTTCCCGTTCTGATGACTATCGCGTGCTCTTCAGGCGATACGGATATGCGCAGCAATGCTATCAAGTGTCTAAGCTGTGCTGTTGGAGGCGGAGAGGAGCTCGTTGCTCGCATGCTCGACCAAGAGATGCTGCGGGCCTTCTGGATGGGTCTGCGTCGATGGATGGACGTGCCGGCAGATGAACTTACACCCGTGGAGATGCAGCTAAACAAGGCTCTGTTGCAGCTCTTGTACTTGGTGCTGAAGATGGCGTCTTCACGTATCGCGTCCATGGGCGAGGACCAAGTGACGAACCTTGTGACTGTCGTGACGGAATTCATCGTGTCGCAGCCCAGTCGACTGGTCATGGGCATCCGTATCATCCGTCTTCTTATCACGCACGCTGCGTGGAAAGATTCATTTGTTGCGCTGTATGCTGTAGAATCGACCTCGACGGGTCTCAAGTTCTTGCAAGCGCTCATGAACGGCATCGAACAGTCCAGCATAACGGCGAAAGAGGACAGTGAGAACACAGTGTTCGACGACTCGGTCGCTGTTTTGAAGGAGCTCATCAAAGACCCGCAACAGTTCGAGGAAGACGACGACCAAGGTGGCGTTGCGATGGCCAACGATGCGATTGTCAACCTGATCATTAGCGCCGGTGTCCACATTTCGCTGCTTGAGCTACTGCGGGACAACGCTGTGCGAGAAAGTATCAGGAAAACACAAGGCTCGGTTGACTCCGAGGCGGATGAGAAGAGCGAGGAGAGTCACGAGTACGTGGTGACCCGAGCGCTCGAGCTTTTGGACCTACTGGCACGCTCGCGTCGGATTCGGTTGCTCATTCTGGAGGCTGGCACCGCCCTGGACGCCTTAGTGACTGCGTATGAGGCCACAACGGACGACTACGCAGAGTCGTCGCCCGCACGTCAACTGATCGCTCAGGATCTCGGCCGAATTCTCATCCACTTGTCCAGTGACCCGTTGGAGTTCCGCAAGACTTTGTACGACCACCGAGCTGTTCTACCTAGCACAATTCTGGGCAACATTCTGTCCCCCGTTGCCGAGGTCGCTGAGACTGCCGAGGAGATCGTGCTGAACCTCGTCGAGTCGGACTTCGCTACGTGTCCCTTGTGGGTTGATCTGATCGAGAGCGCTAATGTGCGCCTGGTGTTCCGTGTGGTGGTGGTGGCAAAGCGACCGTCAGTGAAGGTCACGGCAGCTCGAAAGCTCATTGACATCGTCTTCTCCCACCCGGGTATTCTCGATGATGAAGAGTCGGGCTTGTCGCCGGAAGAAAAGAGCTCGTTGGTGTCCATGTTGATCGATTTCTTCGTCGACTTCGACCCGCGGACGTCTGTGGTGGGCGTTCTCGCTCTGACGCTTCTGCTCAAGCACGGGCAAACACTAAACGACGAGCAGATGGAGAAGATTGCGGTGGATGGCACTGTGTCGCTGGTTTACTGGATGCAGAAGGGCACAGAGCGCCACCAAGAGAACGCAGTGAAGATCTTGCACGACGGCGTGACGGATCCGGCTACTCTCAAGAAGTTTTACGAGCAGCTACAAGCGCCGTCGGTGCAACGGGAGACCGCGTTCTTGTTGGAGCTGGGCCAGCAGCTGCTTGATGTAGAGACTAAGTCGAACCCTGAGGGGCTGTTCAAGCGATGCAGGCTACTGCGAGGTCTTCTCCAAGAGACTGATTACGATGCGTTGCCGAGTGACTGCATGGAAATCATTGAAGAGGTGAGTGCGTATTTACTCGACTTGGTGGAGGAGAAAGGCAATGAATCCGAGCATGAGGATGAAGACGCTGAGGAGAAGAAGATGAGGGAGAAGTTCTTGCTCGTCATCACCGATTTCCTGGCCGTGCTGGTGTTATCCAGCTCCTTCCACTCCACACTGGTGCATCAGGACGCGATCGAGAAGCTGGCGTTTGTGCTCAACGAGCAGAAGAAGGCGACAGAGCCGTCAGCTCTGGTGGTCGATCAAACGCGTCGTCTACTGAAGCAGCTGTGCGTCCACGAAGTTCCTCGCCTTGTTGCGTGTAATGGCGTGGAGATTCTGCTGGACTCTGTCATGAAACATGACGAGGACAGCGACGAAGGCTCCGAGCGCGTGGCTGAGATGCTGGAGACCTTCAACTCTGTTGTGGAATGTGGTTCAGCTGGTAAATCTGCGCTGATGGATACGGAGGGCTTCCTTTCCAGCTTAGCCAGAGGTTTCAGGACAGTGTGCGGCGACCTCAGTGACGGGCACGATACGTTGACTGAACACCTTCTCGGAACTGATTTCGACGGCCGAAGCACCAACATGGAGGTGGCGTGTGGACTGTGTCTCTTGGTGTTTCTACTCGCGCGTGGTGGTGGATACCGTGAACGAGTGTTTAAAGAAACAGCTCTTATGCAGCACATTGTGACTATGCTGGCATGGTTCCCGTCCATCTTTTCCACGAACGACAAGGCCGTGACGCCGGAGCTGAAGGCGAAGTTCGGCTTGATATTCGCGTCGGGACTTCCCTTCCTTGAAGCTGCTCTAGTGTCCGTCGAAGGATCGTTGTTGGAGTCCGAGGACAAGGAGCTGTTCTTCAAGGGCACTTTGAGTGTGTACAGCAAGACATTAAGAACATTTGCAGATGGCCACGAGGCATCGGACCTCTTCCTTACTGCGTGCGAAGGACTGAAGAGTTTTTTCTTCAGTGACAGTGCCGCGTCTGTGTTGGCGGAGGAGGGACAGAAGGAGCTGGAGACGCTGTTGAAGGAGCAGGTTTTCCAGTCTCTCAAGGCAGCGATCTACTCGATGGACTGTGTGGTGGCGCTGTTGGAGATCGCAGTCGCCGTGGTTCCTGCTCGCGCCGTGACGCCAGACGAGGAGAAGGAACCGGCACGAAGCTCGTGGCTCGTCGCTGGAGTGCTCCACGCGCTCTTCAACTTCGACGTCTTTGGAGACGACCTGGATGTGTCGGTGCTGTTCACTTTGTTGCGACGCTTCTGCTCGTCTGCAACGATTCGCAACTCCTTGTACGAACACGTGGACTACGATCGACTTGTGGAGATTTTGGTGGCTTTCGCTCAAGATTCTAAGTGGCGACGATGGCGTAAGTATGCGCTGAGTATGCTGCTGTTACTTGGAGAGGATGGCGCGATGGAACATGTGAGTCATGACAGAGGAACGATGCCGATGCTACAAGCATCCACGGCCAGTTCGTTCCGCAACCGCGACAGTGAACAATCCACGTGCGCGACGCGCTGTTTCCACTGTCGCCAGGTGGTGCATGCCCCTTTGCTAGCCAATCTATGCGTCATGCCGTGTCCGTATTGTCAGAAGGCGGTCGCGGTCGCTTCCGATAGCTCTTACTCAGCTGTCGACACGCTTCCGTCCGTCGTGGAGCACAATGGCAGCATCACTCTCGACGACGGAGCACTGTCCAAGATCTCCTCAGACGGATCCGACTTTGTCTGTGTCAACTGTAACAATGTGCTCGAACTTCCCGATGGTCTCGGCCCTTCCGAGATCGTGTGTCCGCACTGTCTACAGCTCGCGTCTGTCAAGAAGACAAGCCAGTCAGTGCTGCCAGCGTTTAGTAGCGAGAAGAAACGGTCGTCAGCGTCGTCGGTGCACTCTGTGGAGTCAGGAGCAAGTTTGCCCAAAGACCCGTCCATATCGGGCATCGACGTGCGGGACACCAAGGTGGTGAGCTGTGGACACTGCGCCAAACATCTGATCGTGAAGAACGGAGCGTCTGCAGTGAAATGTCCATCGTGTCACGGAGTCTCCAAGCTGTCGACCACGACGAGTAAGTTTTTTTTATCGTCTGCAGTATGGTGCTTTCACTTTTCTTTTTTCTAACCGTTTTTGTGCACACCGTCCAGCTCAAGAAATGATGCGATGCAAGAATTGTAACACGCTGCTGAGCCTGCCTGCCGGTGCCAGAGCGTACAAGTGTATGAAGTGCCTGCAGACGACGCGACTATCGTAGTACGGGGCTGTTCCTCCTCATCTGTTTAGTGTTGCGAAGGGAGATTATGTACGTAACGCGCTGAATCGGCCATTGCGGCTAGAATGATGCAGGGCTGGATCAACAAGATTTCTTCCGCGTGGTTAGTATGCTGTCGCTGATATTCTGTTAACACGATTCACTGCGCGTTGTTTTCATCTTGTCAGACTTGTGAGTGGGCAGGTATCTCAAGCATCAGCCAGTTGAGTCCATGAGGTCGAGCAGGTCGTCGCCTCCTCCTTTACCTTCGCGTTTGGTCTCGTCCATCTTGAAGTCCTGCAGTATCGCATCAGTCGAAGTCTTGCGGTCACTCGCAGCGTCAATCCAAATCGTAGGAACTTCTTTATCGTCGTCGTCATCTCCACCAGATCCAGGCTTCGTGGGGTCGTCTGGGAACAGGTTGATACGCAACGCCTTGTTGTCCCCTTCGACATCCTTCGCGGACGAAGATTTCCCCACAAGATCAGCGAGCAGGTTGAGTCCATCCGCTGCGGTGGCTTTAAAAGTCTTTTGGTGCTTTGGCGCATTTACACCCTTCGCACTTGAACTTGAGCCAGCACCGCGAGCTTTACTGTCGGCGAAGAGCTGGCGAGTAGAGCGCGAGAAGCCTCCAGTGCCGTCCTTGGAGTCGGCCTCGTACATGTTGAAGCCCAGATGAGCATTCAGCTGGTCCCGTTCCAGTACCGGTCCTTCGGGCGCTTCAACAGATCCCTCCGCACTGGCAATAGCGAACGTTTTTTCTTCCTCAACACGGTTCGACGCGTCAAAGTAGCGAATTCTACCCGGCACTTTGCCGCCTGTAGCCGTGAAGCCTTCGTAGTGAATGGCCAGCGTTCCGTCCATCCCCTGAATGCCGTTCTGGAGGAAGAGCGACACTTTGATACGCGTGTCCTGGAAGAAGCGACAGAGATATTGCTTGAGCATGTAGAAGTCTGCCGGACTCATGCTGCCAAAGTTGTCCGAGGTGAGTTGGACAGTCTCGTCCACTTGTCGCTTGACTGCAGCCGAGTCCACGAGGTTTTTCATGTTGGCGAGATGGTTCATAGTCACTTGAAGTAACTCGTCGGCCGAGGCACATGACAATACTTGGTACTTGAAGCCCATGCGCATGAGGTCGTAGAGCTGCGACAGAGCCCAGAAAATAGAGTAAGTGTCTGAAGATCTTGTCAATTGACGCTGCAGTCACACTACCTTATCCATACTATTCGAGTTGAGTCGCATGATGGACGAATGCGCCAAGCGATCGAAGATCTGGCGCGTCGAGACGTTCGAATACATGCGGTGAGGCTTGAAGAGCTCACTCATGAATGTATCGTTGTGCATTGTCTTGACAATGTCTTCCAGTACTGCACAAGGAGAACGGATTACTACTTGGTTTGCTACGATGCACGAAGTAGGGGCGGCTCGTACCTTTGGAGCTCTTGTCTCGAGGAATGTTCTGAGCTTTAAGACGTTGGTCCAGCACGTAGATCATTTCGGCGCCCATGTTGACGATCAGCATGGGCATCGTCATTAAGGAACCCGTCATGTTGCAGCACCTTGTAACGCGCGACTAGCTGTGCTGCCAAGACGACGCACCCCTTCACGATTCTGGTAGATCTGCGCCCAGCAATTTGGAGTCTGAAATTACGCTTTGAGGCCGCAACATTCCAATTAAAAAAAAGTAGAGCTCTCTTCGCATTGAAGACAAATCAAATACACCCTTCTCTTCCCTCTTTGAAATATACTCGACGAGCTGCCAACTTCATTATTGCTAGGCCCACGTCGATCTGAAATCAACGAGATGAGCATTTTACTCTTCAGTTCGAAGAATTCGCGCTTGGGGAGGTCATCCACGTCGTCGCTCCCATGCCCGATTATAAACGACTTGATCTTATTGTCGATGCTGCCCAGCGCCAGAATTGCGGGGAAGTCCTTCTCCGTAGTGAGCTAGGCTCGACAGATTTCCTTGCAGCCATGCGCCGAATACATGTAAAAGGCAATCTTGGCCCAGTAGCCTTCAAACATGCCAGCTTTCAGCTGGTTCTTCCACGTGACGGAAAACGGCCTTCCGACATTGTCGCTGTAGCAGTACTGGGCTTCGAGTGTGCGGTAAAAGTGTCGTTCTTCTCCCTTAATTAAGATTAAGGGATCGTCTAGAAAGATGAAAACTAACGGGAAGCCCAGCCAGCTTGGCCATAACAGTTTGATACTCCAATGATCTTACCCTTTGGCAAACTTTCTAGTGCTGTAGGAGACGCTCCTTCTCGGTTTTAAGTTTGGCAAGTGCTTCTGTCGCGTATCCCCGCGTGTCGTTGGTGGGTGAGATGCACGTTGGCCAGCAGCCGCAAGTGACGCAAAAGTCCTGTTTCGGATGTGAGAGCTCGAATCCGCATCCGGGACAAAATACGTTCGGGCTGCCCGCTGTCTCCTCTTGTCCGTGAGCTTCCACAACTTGAGTCGACTCGCTCAATCTTCGACGCGGCACATTCGCAAGGTCTCCGTCAAAAGCTCGCAAAAAGGCCTGGAAAAAGCACAAATGCTCTCGATCCCGAATGTACACGTTATGCTCTCGGCAGACAAAGCGCTGCTGCTCTGCGAATTCCATATCGGTCCAATGCGAGTCGAAGAACCCGAGACGTAGTCGAGTAGTGCCCGAACCAGACTCAATGGGCTCTTTGGCGCGCCACTGGGAGAAGCTCTCGGGGAAAGCTTGACGCAGGATCAACTTGCCATGAGCGCCTTGCTCTCCATCAAGTGGAACTGGAGTTCGCCCACCTACCATGTCACTTTTGCTCAAGGTTTTGGAAAAGTTGACTATGCGAGCATCGAGATATGGACTGATTACCTCAATTCCAAGTTCCCCCGCAAGTTTGGCCGTAGTGAACTGCATAGTGGCAGTGATACGTTCTCGATATCTGCTTAAAGCCTCTTCGGTCATTCCATGGTAGAACGAGTACCCGCAAAACACCTCATCCGCTGCGTCTCCAGTCACAAGATGCTTGACACCGAGCTCTGAGGCCTCTCGCAGCGCCTCATAGATAACCAGGGAGTTGCGCAGTTCCATCGGATCACAAGTACACAATAGTTGTGCTACCTCCGAGGAATTCTTTAGTAAATCATCCAAAGCTAGTCGCAGCACATGATGCTGTTCAACTGACACACTTTCCAGGCGTTTGAAGATGTTAGCGGCAAAGGCAGCGTCCTGGGCCTTGGGATCGGCCTGAACTGTCAATGCATGCCGAAAACGAAGTATTGGACGTGCCTTTCCTTCCTTGTCGAGTGAGATCGTCATAAACCCGTCATCCGTTTCTGCAGACAAGTCCTGGGCACTCGCCTCGGACAAGATCGAGGTATCTAGCCCAGCGCTGAGCAAAATAGCATCGATACCATCGGGAAAACGATCACGGATCTCACGAAGAGCTTCTTGGAGCAATCGACGGCACTCGATAACTTTCCCTGACGGTGGTGCACGGACGTAATCCAGACACAAATTCTCTTTACGAGCACGCACAGACCGCTGAAGGATCCGCACGTCCTTAGTGTAATGGTACAGTATTTGATCGGATGAGTACATTTAAGGGTGGTTGGGAGCTAACGACAAACGCGGTAGAGCCCACGCACGCCACGCATCTGGTGGAACACTCCCGTTCCTCGGAGTAGCGGCACTTTGAGCGAACGCCTTCTCCATCTGCCCAGCAAGTACGTGCAGTTTTTCGTCATGGGAGCACGCGTCCGACTGAGGTATCGCCCACGAATCAACAAACTCGTTTGACTCTCGCTTGTTAATTCCTCGATAGAATTCGCGCCTTCGATATCTAGTACCACAGCACATCGGAATGCCATCCACGGCCCCAGGCTGGGCTCCCGATTATGGCATGGTCTTTTCAATTATTTCTTATGAAATCATAAAATTATTTATTTCTTCGATTACCTGGATGTTTTTAATAATTTATTTTCTTAAGGAATCATCCGACATAATTTATGAGCAAAACCTCTTTATCATTATGTACCTCTCACAACCAACCATGACTTTTCACTACTGTACTTAAGCTCTCTGCTACCAGCACTTCTCTAAGCCAGCTATACGACACAGCTTGCTCACGTCCTCACTTTTTAATTTGAGCAACTCGAACAAAGCCCCTCGCTAAGCTACTGTGGTCCTTGCCACGCTCCCCCGCCACGCCACCTTCACGCCAGCCCAGGTTACTGTGTGCGTGTCTTGGGAGGGAGCCAAATTCTAACGAGGGCCGATAAGGCAGTGCTGCAGCCCTTCCGCTGCCTGGAAGAAGTAGAAGAACCTGCACGCACTGCAGCAAACCGAAGGAAAGTGAAGACGAAGGCTCATTCGTGGCGAGTCTACAAAAACGTCGCCATTTAGCAGCAGTTCAGCCGCGGTACAACCTGCTTAGTTGCATTCCACCTACTTCTAACCTTGTTGAGAGGTTCTTTAGCGTCACTAGGACGACGTACGGGCAAGAGCGCCACAGCTTGCAGCCTATTACATTAGAAATGGTGCTGTTCTTACGCCAAAATGGTGAGTATTGGTCAGCTCAGACTGTCGACGAGGCCACTCGCTAATTATTAACATGGTGCTGGTTTGCTTTACATTATGCTCTTATTTATTGTTTGTGCGCAGTACATGACATAATGTATGTGATGACACTAGCTGCCCAATGCCATTATTTATGGTTAAAAAGGGTTCCCATTATATAACAATGCCATAATCGGGAGCCCTGCCCCCAGCTCTGGGTGCATACAAAGCTGCGACGCCTGCGAAGCCAGCAACTAGTTTCAGACGATTATTATGTAAAGTAACATGAACCGGACGTAAGCTTACCGGGCAGTGGGAAACTGCACGAGCGGCGAGAGCCACCTTTTGCGCTAGAATCATCTTGCCCGGCTCCGTGTCCGCTACCCAGTATATCTACAATATGCAAGTATTTCCATGTTAATAAATTACCCAAACTAAGCATTTCACTTTTCATCCTGGTCACCTTTGCGTCTTCGAACGTTGTGCACCTGGTAGCCAGCTCCTTTAGTGAGTTATTCACCGTCTGCTGGACGTATCGGTCCACAGGGTCTTTCAACACTCGACCCTCGTTTTGCTGCATCTCGAGATGTACAAAGTCGAGAAATGGGTCCCATAATAGTCTGGAATTGCCCACCAGCACCAACAAATGGGCTGATTTGTTTCCGAAATTTTCAGCTGGAACCGTGTGAGTGGAGACGCCGCCTCGACCGATTGGTCTGCCAAATAGCGATTGTAGCTTTCCACCGACGAAGGGATTAACACGTCCAGGCCCCTGTAGTAAAATAACAATATCGCTAGGGTCACAAATTCACATTTCATACATGTTAGTTACGAGCGACCTACTTGCTCGCAAGCGCCGAGTGAAGAAGCGCACACGCGTGCCGCTGATCCAGCATCTTCGGTTTTAAACAGCATCGGATTAATTATTTTGTAATTATTAAAAGCTTAATAATTATAAGCTACGCACCAGGACTGTATTATTATAACGTACTTCATGTATAACTCCGCACCAGGACTGTACTAACGTACTTCATGTACTAAAATTAAAACTACTACACTCCTGGACACCGAGTACCCATAATTTTTATTATTTGACGGTGCGGTTTTCACACGAGTTGCATAACATGCTTCAAAATAGCAAAGATGTGCTAACGCTCGCTACCCGCCCACATCAGGGTCCAGTCGGTCTCTCATACTGATGGAGTGAAGGGTACGGAGGCCTCTATGTGTGCACACAGTATTGCCTTGCCCTCGCTGATGAGTTGTCGACCGCGATGGTACCCATGCTGATTTTTCCACTGCCAACACCCTGCCAGAAGTGGTAGTGTCCTCGAGCCAAGCCGGCTGAGCAAGCGTGGCCACGGTGAAATTCGTTTGAGAATCCAATAGCAGGATGACCACTGCTTCTGGCGTGCATACGCAATTTCTTTGCAACTTGACCCTCAATTTGATGCACACGTATCCTAGCGTTTGAGGGCAGTGGGCTAATGTGGGCAGCGTGGCGTGGGAGCGAGAGCTCGTTTATTGTTGAAGCCATCACTGCATCAAATTCATAGATCTGGCAAGTGTTTGTAGCTAGCAAATCCAGCGTGAGCTTCATTAGCTCGGTTGAGACCTGGCAGCTCCTTTGCACGTTGATTAGGTCCAGATCACTCAACGCAATGTATTAATAGTGCACGCCATTTTAATAAGTAGACGTACACGAGCTTGCCGTTTACGTCTGAGTCGTCTATGCCTCACAATGCTGGAAATCAGCCTTAAGTGCTGCGTATTTGATAGTGATTCTCTGGAGTAGCGTAACCGTTGATGGAGCGCGAGTATCACAATCGAGGGGCTCAACTCGAGGAGACAAAAGAATTGCTGGACCTTGCTAAGACGATCCGCCCTCTGTGGCGAGTAAAAAAGCTGTTAAGATTCTGACCTTCTTGATCAGTGCAGCGCCTTCAGAAAATGACCCACTAACAGTGCACAAGCGACACCTTTTATATTGCTTTCCGTTCGCTAGATCCACCATCATGTCATCCAGTAACAATGAGAGAAAGTTGAGGCCATGTATCGTTCAGTCTGTCGCGGGGCTACCGTAGCTTTAGCGTCAGAGGAAGACGTTCGACTCAAAGAGTCACTAATACTAAGTTCCTTATCCAAAGGACACTTACAGCCCAAGACCAGGGCTCAAAGTTAATACCTTAACTTTTATGCTTCAAAACCAGAAGTGACTTATTTACTATTATTGCGGCCAAGCCGCCTAGGGGTAAATGTATCTGTTTAACTGTATATCATAGTTAAACCTAATCAAATGCATAACGTGTGGCTTTCAGCCAACGTACTGAGAGACCTTGTTAGCTCTCCAACTTATGTACTAAGAGTTTGTTAACTCTCCGGAACTTCGTATCCCTGTGTGTTCCACATCATGTAACCTCGTTACACTCTCCCCCACTAAGATGAGAACATTCCGTTCTCGAAACTTTCCTCAGCGAGGTCACGTCTTGTTAAGACGGCGGAGGTTACTACACCTCACACCAGCGTTGTATAGCTCCATGAGCTCACAAACGCCTACGCATCGTTGATGCCCAACTTCTCCGCGACAAAATGTTCCAAGCGCAGCGCGCATCTTGCTCTCAAGCGGTCTCAGACCTACGCTCGCGCTCCGCGCCAACTCCAAGAGTTGCAAACCGCTTAGAGCTATGTTCTTGACTCATCCAAGACGTCGACAGCAGCTCAGCAGTTGAACACTCGCTTCACAAGCGATAGGTCGGTGGCTCGATCCCACGAGGGCGTCGCCCTCTCGACGATTGTCCACGCTTGGACAAGCTTAAGGGCAACACCCTTTTAGCTCAATGGTTGAGCGTTGGCTTTGAGAGCTACAGGTCGGTGGTTCGAGCCCACCAGGGCACAGCCCTCTCGTTCCATGAGCGATTGTCCACGCTTGGACAAGCTTAAGGGCAACACCCTTTTAGCTCAGTGATCGAGCGTTGGCTTTGGAGGCCACAGGTCGGTGGTTCAAATCCACCCGGGTGCAGCCCTCTCATACCATGAGTAGCCCCTTCTCGGACTGACGTACGGGCATCGCCCTTATAGCTCAATGGTAGAGCTCCGGCCTGGCAAGCCAAAGGCCAGTGGTTCGATCCCCGTCCGGGACACCACTTTCGCTGTTACAGCGCATCCACATTTGGATCATGCTCATCGAGCAAGTTGCTTCAAAACAACTATGCGTCTATCGAGACGCTTGTGCCTGAACCTTGTTCAGCACAACACGAAGCACCTGCTTCCTTCGGGACCATGTCCGTAGCACCACGAGGTCTCTCTACCTCCTTCTCCCGCTGCGAGCACCGCTCATACGTACGAGCTGGCTGCTGCAGCCTGGTCAGAGACTGAGCTCAACTACTGACCTGATCGCTCCCCACTCTAGTGGGAGTCGCCCAGCGCCTGGCAACGCTGTCGCACGCCATGGTGGCGCTTCGGCACATGATCTGCCCGGTCGTAAGCGTCAACGACGTCAAGTCAATCTTGCCGGAGGATAACCTCAAACTCCCATGAGTTCTGTGAGTGAGGGTAACCCCTCCACTTCACCAAGTACTGGGTACGACCCTGCCGTCTACACCGCGCCACAAGGCGTTCCACGTGAAAGTGGAGCTCACCATGCTCATCGAGCAGAGCGGAAGGAGGCTTTGCCTCAGCCGGGCTCTCGTGGGGAGAATCAGCACTTGCCGGAACGGCGTCTGCGTCCATACGACGCCGGCGCCCACGACGCGAACGTTCACGTTCACCGCCCATCGGGCGATCTCGAAGAGATGATCCACCTTGTGGATAGGTAAGAGCCACCATTGTTGATTCACAACCAGGTCTCGGACCTTGAGCGTCCAGTCGCTCGGCTGAACGTTCAGCTTGCCTTGCTCCTGCATCTCGAGCACTTTGCTCCGCGACCTGTCGCTCTGCCACATGCTGTTGATCAGCCATCTGTGGGTCCACCACTTGCTGTCGTTCAGCCTCCCGTGGCTCTACCACCTGCTGCCCTGCAGGTGTCCGTGGTCCAGCCACCGTTGGCGCTAACGCCTCCGCGCTCACCTGAGCAGGATCTTGATATGGCTTAAGCAAGCCAACATAGAAGACCGGATGCGTGCGCATCTTCTGCGGAAGGTTGAGCGTATACGCTAGGCCCTTCCTGGCCACGATCTTGACCGGTCCTATGAACCGAGGTCTCAACTTCGTCTTGAAGACTGCATACACTGCATGAGTAGGTAGGGGTTTTGCGTTTAATAAAACTTGGTCACCGACCTCAAACCTGTCAGCATTGCTTCTGCCATGTTCCTTCTGCGTATCTTGGCTTTCAGCCATAGCGTCGCGTACT